AAGTCAGGGAAGAGAGCCTGCCTGCTTATTTGAAAGAGTTAGTTGTAAGCCTCCAAGAGATGTACAATAGGTAATTTCTCTTGAAAAAGCAACGCTACTTGTTGGGAATCTTAATTAACGTTGAGGATCCATTCTGCTCATGGACACAGATGGCACATGTATTCTCTCTCTCTGCCTACTTTTCCCCTACCACTCTTGCCTATTTAGACTGTAAGCTCTTTGGGGCAGGGACTTTCTCCTACTAGGTCTTCTATAGTACCTGGTATAACAGAACCCTGGTAGCAGTTGAGGCCTGTAGGCATTACTATAAATATGTATCTAAGGGCAGAATTTGGTTTGGTGTCATTTGGGGGGCAGGGAGGAGTTATTGTATGAAATTAAAGCTATGCAGACAGACACATTATCCTTCATGGATGGACAGTTCTCTTCTATTCCCAGGATAGAGGGTACTTAAGAGGGGCACAGTGATGGAAGATAAAGCTGAGGTCCATCAATGCCCACTATCCTGGAGTCCTAAGAAGTCAACCAGGCATAGAATAATTGGGGGGGGGGGGGAAGGAGGGAAGTGCAGCTCCCCCTTCTCTTCTGTAAGCACAGGTATGCTACCCCTGCTCTCTCCACCTGGACTGTTCCTTGGGAACTCTCCCTCTTGTTTCAATCTACTGTAACCACTGACCTGACCCTAACAGATCATTCAACTCCACAGAGGAAGGAGAAAATAAGCCAGGATCCCTGCCAGTACAGCATGGCTGGGGGTGGTAAATTAATTTTGGAGGAGAAATTCGATTCAACCCATGCCTGTGACTAACAATTACCCTGCCTAAATTTTTAGTCCCATTCATGCCCGCAAGAGACCACTGATAACCAGGTGACTGTGTATTTCAGTCCTGAATTACTGTAGCTTGGATTGGGTCAGTGTGACCCGAGACATTGAATCTCTTACACCGATCACTGCGACCGGTCAAAATGTTTTGTTCAAACCGCTGCCCTCCCTTGCAATGAAAAGTAGCCTTAAAAAAAACAAACAAACAAAAAAAACCCATTTTGTTCCCTTGGAATTTTTTCACTCTTTTGATGACAAACAAGAAACCCCAAAAGTCTTCAGTTTCCATTTTATCAGTTCCTGTTTCCCCTCACATGCCAGCACTCCCCTCTTACCCTTTTTTCAGTGCCAAAATTGCAGGGGAGGGGGGAAACTAGACAGAAAGGGGAAAACAACAAACCAACAAAATTTGGAGAAGTACTTCAGTAGCCTCCTATTTCACATATTCATAAACGCTTGTACATCTGGTTTTGTGCCTTCAGTAAAGATATGGGTAAACATGCCAATATGCCCGAATATTGTGTGACTACGGAACTAAGGCCCCCATTCAGGTGCTTACATTTAAAGCCTGCCCAGAATTTTGTCCCTATTCAGCAAAGAACTTGACTGTTCACATGCTTAAAATCAAGCATGTGCATAAGTACTTTGCGAAAGCGAGTCTCAAGGGCTGTTTTGGAACTGACTGTTAGCAAAAGAGAAAGATGCATAAACTCAAACTGTATATACAGGTCACATGTAAAAAAACGATGTAAGGTTATTGCGCAGAAGAGGATTTTTTCTTTTTTCCCCAAACGAAGCAAAATCTGCCTTCAAGTTCCATAACTCAGTTTAATTTATGGCTTCCAGACTCTCTTGTGCAAAAATTCACTTCCAATAATACAGTGGCTACTTGTTCACTGTAAGCTAGATTTGTACTGATAGGAATCGAACAGCCACACACAGCAGAAAAATTAGCATTCTGATCAACCGCTCCATTATGATTAATCAGCAGTGAAGCCTAGAATAAGCTTATTAAGAAAAACTTGGCTCACTTCCCGAGACAGGCACAAAGAAAAACGTTTTCGGCATGAATATTTCATTTTCCAGTATTTTAACAGATGTTTTGCTTATTTTTATACCTCGCTTGCCAGCCTCTCTTACCAGTTACATTTCCATTAGTGATTGCGCAGAATAAAAAGGGATGTGTTAAAGCAAATCCAATTTCCACTGGACTGTTGCTTTAATTTTTATCTCAGTTTCTCCATTGGACACAGTTCCCCATTTTCCCTAGAACTATTCCTAATTTGAGGTAACATTCTTAATGTTAAGTTATTGAAATGAAAACAAAACCGTGCCACTAGGAGACTGTATCTCCGGGGCTGATCTGTGAGAGAAGATAAGAGTACATTATATTGGCTGTCTAAGGCTCTCTCTTCACTGCAGGGTTAACTCAGGTGATCAGAATCCGAGTTAACCGAGCCCAGGTGGGAGCAGCTGCGCTGTAAAGCCCTACTTGATCCTCCCAGTTGCTGCATGTGTGTGTGTGTGTGTGTGTGTGTGTGTGTGTGTGTGTGTGTGTGTGTGTGTGTGTGTGTGTGTGTGTGAGAGAGAGAGAGACTGAGCCACTCTGGGATTCTTTCCCAGTGAATTGTGGGAGAACTGGTCTGTCCTTCCGGGAACACAGAAAAATTGCAGGAAAGCGTTGGGGGACTATAAGGACTCAAGCAGCTTAGCCTACATCCTCACTGCAAAGTGCGCTCATTCCAGCCCACGTGAAAGCAGGACCCGGACTCTAACCCTCAGCGGCTATGTCTACACTGCATCTGGGAGCAGAGCTCCCAGCCCAGGTCCACAAACTCGGGCTAGCACACTTAGAATAGCTACATAAATATTGAGGAGATGTCGTGGCTTGGGCTGGTGTTGTCAAGCCCTCCCCACCCCCAGACCCAAGCCACAGGTGTACGCAACATGAGCCCCACCAACACAAGTCTGTGGACTTGGGCTGGGACGCTCATTCCCAGATACAGTGTAGACATCAGCCTGGCCAGCTAGTTTGGGTTTAAAGCACCACCCAACTCAGGGGAGAGAGTTTGTGGTGTGAATGGGAGGGGGATTAGGGGCAACATCTGAAGAAGCAGCGAAGTCTGCAGTGAAGACAGACCCTAAGAGAGTTATTCCTGCAGCACCAATGGAAGAGGCTCATGTTTTTAGTGCCGAAGGCCTCTGACCAAAATCGACTGACGGGCCAAGGAAGCAAGGTGGTTAAAACAAATATTCTACAGCTGGCCAATACTTGTTGTACTCTCCCTCCTTCCCACCCCTTTTGGAAAAAAATTTAGCAGACATTAATTTAAAGCAAATATTTATCAAGTGGCTGTGCTCTGCAACTGACCCTCACCAGAGAAGTTAAACGAACACAGTACAAAGTATGTAACCAGAATCTCTTACAGTCAAATAAGGAGTTTCTAAAGCAATTTGTCCATGCACATTTAAAGATATTTATAACACAAACAGATGCCTACAGGTAGCGCAAGTCTGGCTCCTCTTGGCACAAGGGACTCTATAAAATGGTTGTCTTCCAGCTAGATGTATCCACTCCCCTTGTGCCTGAGCCACCTATGCTTACTTAGCAGACGTGTGTTTGCAGGAAGTACTGCAGAGGCAATACAGGTATGGGAGAGCAAGCAAGGCATGTCCTGCCTGATGGATCGATGGAAGTTATCAGCCAAGTTCAATTCCAGAATACTCTTCACTGCTGACTTTAGAGACACGGGTAGCCATCTCCATTTTCAAATCGCAGGACGAGTGTGTGCCAGAAGCGGTTAGAAAAAAAAATTCCAGAAACATGTGACCTAGGCACATTTGCCATCTAAGTCAGAGAGAAGAAGTCACTGCCCTCATGCATCCGATGAAGTGAGCTGTAGCTCATGAAAGCTTATGCTCAAATAAATTGGTTAGTCTCTAAGGTGCCACAAGTCCTCCTTTTCTTTTTGCGAGTACAGACTAACACGGCTGTTACTCTGAAACCTGCCGTCGGAAGGTAACTGTTCCAGGAGCTTGAGCACCAGCTGCAGACTGGAGCATGCATCCTGCAAACACTTACACCTATAACTTCATACGTGCATGCAATGGATTAGTGAAGGCAGTTGTGGGCTGTAGCTTTAAATATTTGCCATATATGGGGCTAGCACAATCCAACAGATCAGAAACTACCTCCTCTGATTATCGTCACCCAAGGGCAGGGTTGGAAGGCAATTTCCTCATAATGGTTTCTATAAAGAGGCTTAAGAGCTGCCTGGAGCCAAGTCTACCAATGCTGCTTGCTGCACGGAAATTCAATACGCAATATGAAAAAAGAGCTGGCTCAGCATGCTAGCCCCTGCCATTTGTGTTGTGCGTACTGGGCAGGGAGTTTTGCCACTGCTTCAGGCTGACAGGCCAAGAAAGCAAAATGCTTCCAATAGCGTTTGGAAAAAAAGGAAAACGCAAGGGGATCCCCTAATAGAATGGGGTATCAACTCTTGACGTGCGCTCATTTAGGGGAGGCAGGATTTGGGAAAGTATCTATTTCTGTTGCTGCATTAAGGTTGCATGGCCCAAAATTTAAGCCCTGAAAGTGACCCAAAAGCATGAGCTGCCATAGCTTGAGCTGTAGGGCCAGGGTCTGTAGTTGGGCACTGCAGCCTCACATCCTCTGTGGGTTGGGCAGAGACAGGGATCTAGAATCCAGACTGACCAGTGGGTTACACAGCGACCAAGGGGCACATTTGTACAGCAGACCTAGTGCTAACCAATGAGCCAAAAGGAATCAACCGTCTCGTGGCGAAGGTTCCAAGTTTAATACCTAGAAGTCTGAGACTGATCTAAAATAGCCTTAGAAAGTATGACTAAATACCCGAGTATTCTTTAAATTATTGTACACACTGAACCCTTACGTACATTATAGAGAAAAATTCCGTTAGTAGTAGTAATATCTCAATAGCACCCAAGGATTGAATCAGGAATCACTACTCCATTGTATATCCATCCCCCAACACCTACACCCACCCAGCAGGGCTAATTACCAAAAGGTGAGGAGCATCTGTCATTCAATACATCCTGCAGGCTTTTGATATCGGCCCCAATTTTCAAGTTTCCCAAGGCATAAATCTGAAAGTGACAAATATTTATATTAAACACCACATTCTGTTCTGGTTACCTGGTGTGTCGGATAACTGAAGAGGAATGAAAGGATCAGGCATAGCCAGAAGTGGAGGGCTAGTGTCCAGACTCAGAATGTCTCTTGTTTTTTCAGCTGGAGAGGCAGCAAGAAACAAGAGGAGAGAGAGAAAGAAAAGGCAAAAAAATGTCAAGCAGAGAAGGTGCAGCGCTGAGACACAGATCGATCTTAACAGATTTAAAACCAGGCCTGGGGAAACCAGCTTATTTGGTTATGGAAAAAGTTAGTAATAAGACCTCCATGGAGCAGATCCATTGCGCTTTTAATTCATACATCTCGAAGTGCTTTACAAAAGAGCTATTATTCCCATTTCACAGGTGGGGAAACTGAGGCACAGAGCGATGAAGCGACTTGCCCAAGGTCACCCAGCATCGGAGCTAGGAATAGAACCCTACTCTGCTGAACCCCAATCCAGTGCCAAAACCATTGAACCTGACTGCTCCCGCCCCAGAATCCACCCTATTAGGCATCATGTACCTCTCAGTACAGACGTGCTGACAAACGCAAGCCAATTCACTAGCACTCCCTCCTTCACGCACACTTAAGAGGAAAGAAGGAGGAGAAGAGATGGAAGTTTCCAATCCCTGAAGAAGCACCAACAAAAACTTCTGTGAGGCATGCCCCAAACAAAACAGATCTTAGTGCAGGGAAGAGTCTATGAGGTAGGAAACCTTACAGAGCACAAAAGCCAAAGAGATCCACAGAACAATGCCAGTTATTTATTTGTATTGTAGTAGCCCAGATCAGGGCTGTACAAACTGAGGAGAGTTTCTCTCCTGAAGAGCTTACGTTGTGTAGCTAGAAGACGAAAAGGTGGGAGAAGGGAAGTTATTATCCAAGTTGTACTGATGGAGGAAATGAAGTAAAGAAAGAAAAAAATCGCCCAATATCTGCGCAGCAGCAGAGATGGGAATTAAACCAAGGTCTCCTGAGTCCCTGTTCAGTGCCTTACCCACAAGACCCTGCTTCCTCTTGTAATATTAATACTAAGCTTGTTCATAACACTTTTCAGCAAAGAATTTCCAATGCTGTAGAGCAGTGATTCTCAACCGTGGTCCACCACTTGTTCAAGGAAAGCCCCTGGCACGCCGGGCCGGTTTGTTTACCTGCCGCATCCGCAGGTTTGGCCAATCGCAGCTCCCACTGGCCGTGGTTCGTCGCTCCAGGCCAATGGGGACTGCGGGAAGCGGCGCGGGCCGAGGGATGTGCTGGCCGCCCTTCCTGCAGCCCCCATTGGCCTGGAGCGGCAAACCGCAGTCAGTGGGAGCCGCGATCGGCTGAACCTGCGGACGCGGCACGTAAACAAACCGGCCCGGCGCGCCAGGGGCTTTCCCTGCACAAGCGGTGGACCACAGTTGGAACCACTGCTGTAGAGAAAACGTTGAGCCAACACCTCCCAACCCTTCAAAGTGGGAGAATATTCCACTCATACTTGCGTTCAGAGGGCTGAGCAAGCTACAGCGTTATGGGAAAAAGGTCTAGAAACTTGTGGCCCAATGGGAATTAAGGACACTTTGTACCTGGAATGACAAGGCCTTATCGGATGTGTGTTAGAGGACCAGCACCTCAGTTGGTATCTCTGTTAAAGTCGATCCAGCGACACTGATGGAATGGACACCAGCAGCAAATCTGACCCATGTTGTGTCGAGTGGCTAGGGAACGTTAACTCACTAAAGCTTCCACAGCTCTCTAGCTAGCAGGTACAAGCCACTGCAAAGCTACTGAGCTCTATTGTAAGCTTCTCTAAGTTCCACTTATATTTAGAAGTCATCTTAAAATGGATTTCTTCATTTTCTCCTTCTGAGTAATTAAGATTCTAGGGTGATCTAAAATCTGACCCAGCCCCATAGCCCAGTTCTCTGATTAGCACATTACACATGCTCACAGCTAATTTACGATGCAGAATGACTGCCTGCTCTCCTGGAAGCTTGCTGACCCCTGGGGAAGTTTTAACTCAACAAATCCAGTTTTTAAATGGTAAAAAGGTCAGTGCGGAGGCTGGGGCGGGCGGGAGGCTGAAATGCTGAGATAAACATTTTGTTTTGGGTTGCTGTGGGTATTTTCCAGGTGCCCCCATGGCTGAAAAAAAGGTGACAAGACGCGCAGTAGCATCCAGCCAGAGATTTCTGAGCTTGAAGAAACTGGGTTGGGTTTTACTTGAGAGCAAGAGAAACCAAATTTTAACGAGGCCCTGATCCTGCAACAGCCGCCATTTGGGCGCCCGCGCGGAACCCAGCGGTGCTCCACACCAGGCTCTACGCACCCAGATGTGGTTGCAGGACGAGGTCCTAAGAATTGCTGATGTGTGGAATCCATGCTCATACCGTCAGTTCCCACTTTCTGCATCCACCACGTAGATTACATACTGTACTTAAGCAACCGTGTGCTCCTTCTCTGCAGCAGGGAAAGGTGTTCCCCACCCACATACTTTTCTTTATCTTTGCTAAGTGCAATCAGCATTTTTCCCTTCATCCCATGGCACAATGATGGCGTCAGCCTTGCCTCCTTGACAGTCTAGACAAGAGAAGACTGGTGCGGGGCGGGGAGCAGAATAGGTCTTCAAATATGTAATAGGTTTTCAGAAAGAGGACAGTGATCAATTGTTATCCATGTCCACTGTGGGTAGGCTTAATTTGCAGCAAGGGAGATCTAAAAAAGATAGATTTTCCTAATATCTAACCTAACTAGAAGTATCATAGAAGATTAGGGTTGGAAGCAGAGGTGAAAGCAAGCCGGTACGGTCTGGTTCGGCGTGCCGGACCAGACCAGCTTCCCCAGGCCAGTGATTTAAAGGGCCCCAGGCTCCAGCTGCTGTGGGGAGCCCCGGGCCCTTTAAATCTCCGCCCATGCCCCGCTGCCGGGCTCCTGGGGTAGCGGCGGCAGGGCTCTGGCGGTGATTTAAAGGGCCCAGGTATTTAAAGGCCCCGCCTCTTCCGGTTGAGGCCATGCCTCTTCCCCTTGAGGCCACGCCCCTTGCTCAGGACTCTGGAGTACCGTTAAGTCCTTTAAGTTACTTTCACCCGTGGCTGCAAGAGACCTCAGGAGGTCATCTAGTCCAACCCCCTGCTCAAAGCAGCGCCAACCCCAACCAAATCATCCCAGCCAGGACTTTGTCAAGCCGGGCCCTAAAAACCTCTAAGGATGGAGATTCCACCACTTCCCGAGGTAACCCATTCCAGTGCTTCACCACCCTCCTAGTGAAATAATGGTTTCCTAATATCCAACTAAGACCTCCCCAACTTGAGATCGTTGCTTCTTGTTCTGTCATCTGCCACCACAGAGAACAGCCGAGTTCCATCCTCTTTGAAAACCCTCCTTCAGGGAGTTGAAGGCTGCTATCAAATCCCCCCTCACTCTTCTCTTCTGCAGACTAAATAAGACCAGTTCCCCCAGCCTCTCCTCGTAGGTCATGTGCGCCAGCCCCCTGATAATTTTCGTTGCCCTCCGCTGGACTCTCTCTCCAAGTTGCCCACATCCTTTCTGTAGCGTATATGAAAGCAATGCAACGGGTTACCATGGGAGGTTGTGGAATCTCAGTCATTGGAGGTTTTTAAGGGCAGGGTTAGGCAAACACCCCTCAGGGATGATATAGGTAGATTTAGTCCTGCCTCAGCACGGAGGGGACGGACTAGATCGCCTCTTGAGGTCCCTTCCAGCCCTGTATTTCTAGGGTTCTATATCCCATCATAGCCACTCAAAGTGGAATCACCTGGCACATCTGTCGGATTTCTCTCAAGGAGTCAGGCAAGTTTTGACCAACAAATTCCCCTGACCCCAACCGTTCCAGACTACGTCTTTGAGTATAGAACAGCTACTGTATGATCCATGATGGCTAGTAGGGAGAGGCTCCGACTTTCCTATGGACTTTAAGGAGTCTATTCCGTGTCTAACTTCCCCGAAGAGCTACCTCACGGTGTCCATTCATTGTGTCCATTAGCCAACTGAGATGAACTAAACAAGTTTCCCAGGCTAAGGTCTTCCATCACAGGGCATGCCTTAGTACATGCGTCCCTCCTGCCATCCTTTTTCACTCAAGATATCACGTCTGTCCTGTATTTGCTACTGAGATGCCCAAAGAGGCGACAGTCTGAAGCAACAAGGTCAGTCGAATGGATCTGGGCCTCCGGGGGGCTGCAGAAAAGCCACCGCCACCGACCACTGGTATTATCTCGAAAGGAGGCTCTTTCAGGGTACGCTCACGTGCTTACCTGATCCGGCTGTGAAGGAAGAGGAAGTGAAAGCATCTGCCTGTGTTGTCGATGGAGCTGGCTGAAAGCCTGGAATCAAGTTCTCTGTGGAGCTACCAAGCTTTTCTGGAGGTTTACCTGAAATTCCAGAATGTCGGGTTACGCTTGACGGTCGCTGGCTCCCATTTTGAAGCTGACCTACTTTTATAAATTTAAAACAGCTTTAAAAATGCCACGGCAGAACATTTACTCATACTTCTTGCAAGCCATCATTCGCACATGAAGCCATGTAGCTTCATCTGCGGGCTGTATGCAGCAATGTAATGGCTATACCGTGGTAGGCTCATCAGGGCCAGAGCCTACCATCCTTACTCACGGGGAGCACTACCCGAGGCCTTGAGTCATCTCCCTGACCTCACTGAGAGGAAGGCATGAGCAGAGGTGACTGGGGTGGCAGATGAACACTGCATCCTGGAGGGCTTGTGTAGGAGGTCACATGCCCAGTAAGAGACAAAGATACTGGATGCACAATGTTAACAGGTTAGTTCTGCGGGTTCTCATGCTCACGAGAGCTCTCTGTAACTGGAGCATTTCAGAAGCCTCTAGCTACTGTCATCTCCCCACCGTTATGCCATTCCCGCTTTTCCAGGTCCAGAAGGGAGCAACGCCAGTCGCTAGCGGACGCCGAAGCTCTCCGGTAAACTCACCGTCACTCAGTTTTGCAAAGTCCTTGTTCAGCAGCTCCTCCGCCGTGAGTTTGGAGAAGTTATCGTCATCGAACGGGTTCCACGTGGAGACGTCCGGTGGGTTGTAGACATTCTGCTGCGAGGTCCTAGGGGAGCCGGATGGTGTTGTGGATGCAGACCTAGAAGCATCCCCCGCAACCAAAACATGGATGTTAGTAACCAGGCAAGTCAACAGGAAATTTTCTGAGCGCAACTGGATGAAGGGGTTGCTTGAGATGGTAGGTGGTGGGGCTCAACAACCTTGGGGCTCACTTCCAGTTTATGTCTTGTTATTAAAGCACATGCTTCAGTCAGCCACCAGCAGCGGCCAGGAAGGGATTTTCCCTGCCCGCCCCTCCCATGTGTTCTGGGAAATTTTTTGATCTCCTTCCTATGCAGCATCAGAGATGGCCACGGCTGGAGATGGGACACTGGGCAAGATGGGTCCAGGCTCTGCGGTGGCACAGAGCATTCTCTGTCTCAGGTGTCAGCTGGCTGGTTCTCGCTCACTTGCTCAGGGTCTCACTGATAATCATGTATGGGGTCGGGAAAGAAATTTCCCCCCAGGTCAAATCGGCAGTGATCTTAGGGGCCTCTTGACTTCTCCTCCAGCATCTGGGTACATCCCATTTAATCGTTTTCCTGCCATTGAGGGGCCTTGAGCATTGGTGCACCTTAATCCTGCCTATTCTCTGTCTGTGGCACATAATAGTTTAGTCTCCTAACGGTCTTGTTTCCATCGGTGGGTTTAGTGAGCAGGTGCTGAGTGGTATTGGTGGCCTGAGACATACAGAAGATCAGCTAGAGTACCTAGTCCTCCCTTCCGGCCTTAAACTCTGACTCCCTGCAATGGAGGTGGTCAGCCCAGATGATCATAATGGTTCCTTCTGGCCGTAACATCCATGAACTTTTTGCCCGAGTTGCTTTTCCTTTTAACTCACACTACGCGCGTCCCCCAACCCAGTCACAGCCAGGTCCTTGACAACCTTCATAAGAACCGGCATTAATCTGGTATCCTGGAAATAGCTGAGAGACCACAAAACAAGGGGTGGGAGGGAACAACAGGGCATTAATCTGACAGCTGCACCGTGGGCGCTGGCGGTGAGGGCGGAGGGGCTGGGGAAGACGGGCAAACAACAAAGTAAACAAAACGGTGGGAGCCAAGCACTCCCATGGACTCCAGGGCTTGCACCTACACCTGTTCTATTTAGAGTTCAGTGATGCAGGGACTGGGTTCGTCTGACCTGCCTGCCTAGTGTACTACTCACACCGGGGAGACAGACAGACACGTATTAGGGCCTCTGTGCTCTTAGAGCAGAGGTTTTCAAACCATGGGGGGCACGGAGGAACATTTGGGGGGCCCGCAGCAATGCCAGGAAGCTTGTGCCAGCCCCACACGGCCACCTCCATCCCTGACTCACCTCAGTGGGCCAGCACCAACATCTGCCACGGCCAGGCAGATTTCCACTCCCAGCAGCCTCCGTGCCCCGGTTCGGCCCCCAGAGACCATTGCACATGCCCTCCCCCACCCTGAAAACCCGAGGCGGGGGGCAGTAATTGGCCCTGCCCTAACAGTGCAGCCTGGCCCGCTGATGAAGAAACCTTGGCTCTATCAGTCAGTTAGTATCTGTGTATTTGAAACTTCCAGATGTAGGTAAATTAAAGCAGTGTTAAGGTCTTTGTTAGGTTTATGAGTAGGCTATCAAGTATACTTTTGCATGTGTCTATTTTTGTCTGGGTTTGCAGGATGGGGGGGCTCAACCAAAAATTATAACTCAAAAGGCAAACGTCGCTTCCTTAGGGAACCCTGTCGAAATGCTGTATTGTAACATGCAATAAAAAACTGTATCCAACATGCTATGTGGCAGCCTCCAGATTTTACAGGTTTGATGGTACGGATGAAACAGAGCAGATTCTTTGCTGCATGCGCAGTGTTCATAATGTCGGTCAAAGGATTGCTGGGGTCCCATGCAAAGCAAGATCCAGAAGCTACTGATAACCTTCTTGCCCACCGCGTAGTCCATCGGGGGCGGGGGTCCCAGTTTGCTTGGCACATCGAGAGAGCCGAAGCAGTTGGGATTTTCTCCTTCTCTGGGCAAGGAAGAGGCTTTGGGGCATGGTAGGGGCGGGAGGTACGAAACCGGGGTTCCCAGATGGGCTGACTCAATCTCACTTTCTGGGCATTCCATTCAACAGTTGGACAAACAGCATCTCCCCCCCCAAATCACAAAATTAACAGCCACCTACTTGGACTTGTTGAGGCTGGCCTCAGCAGCAGCCGCCTGCAGGAGTTGGGTAGATTTGCTGACCGGGACCCCGAAAACCGCGCTGTGCGTCACGTCGCTCAGAATCCTCCTGTGTCCCGCACGCTGAGTCTTGGGGGAGGAGGGAGGGGTGAGGGAGCCCAGCTTTTGCCCCTGGACAGCTGAAGGCGGTGTTGTTTGAGGCTTTTGCTGTTGTCTTATTGGGGCCTGCTTCTAGGAAGGGAAGCAAATGTACAAGCTACTCATCCACGAACAATGGCTGTGTTTGAAGCATTACTGTAGTCCAGGGCCCTGACCTCACACAGCACAACGGAACAGGGGAAAACTCAAAGAGCCTCACTGACCTACAGTATTACGGTCCCATTTAACCATAATCACAAGTGACAACACTTTCCTTAGCTGTGCTGGTGCTCTGGGAGGGAAGATGGATTCGGCGTGTGCTGCTAAAAGAGAAATGGCAGCCGCCACATAACGAGGCATAACGGTTCACAACCAGGGCAGAAAAATTCTCACCAGAGAGGCCAAAAGTCTTGTCGGCTGGGCGGACGGGTTAGAGGTTGTAGCGGGAACAGGATTAAGGAGCAAAATATCTGTGAGTGCTAGCTGTTTAACAGGGGTTGGAGCCCCATGGATTTAATGGGATTTCCACAGAAACCTTGGATGTAATAGTTTCTTCACAGCTCAGGATACAAATTTCTTCCAAAACACAAGCCAGCCACATGTTTCAAGCCCCCATCCCCAGGTTGTCAGTGAGTATAGAACCCAGAACCTCCAACACTGAAACCCACAGCCGAGCACTTGAGCCAAAAGGAACAACTCGATTAGCTGGTAGCAGAGGTGAGCTCTTATCTTCTGTGGCTCAGACAGTGGGAGGATACAGGACATAGCCAGCATGACACAAAACTGTCCTTCAGCTGTAGGAACCAACACTATTAAACATAACCAGAGTACACAGAGCTTGACCAAGGAACAAGGGCGGGCTGGACAGGAGGGAGTGGGGTAACAAAGTGTGTGAAAGGTCTTAACAGCCAGAGGGGAAGGAACTGCATAGGGAGGTTCAAGGGTGTAATGCCAGTCCCTAATGTTTTCGATACAAAAATTGAAGACAGGATGGGTCAATTCTGAAGCCTTTGAAATGAGAACTTCAAAAGGTTTCAGAGAAGTAGTTTCGTTTTCTGACCGCCTCACTCCTGCGAGATACATATACATGTACACCCACTAAAAAGACTGTGGTGTTAAATAATCGTCCGATTTGTCACCACTTGGTTTCTAAGTCAGCCTGCCAAGCGTGACTTCATGATCCAGCTGTAGCTCAATCCCCATTTTAAAAAGGGAAAAAACTGGAGTGTGGAAAGAGATGGGAAGTCTGTCTATTTTATTCCCCAAGTCTGGGCATTTCTGTTCTGCCTCTGCTCCAGTATGCAGCAGCATCTTGGTCCATCTTCAAACCAGGAAAGAGACATTTCCCTCTGGAGCAAAAAAAAAAAAAAAAAAAAAAAACCACACACACCCAGCATGGAGTTTGATTGCTGCAGGGTCACATGTGGAAGGCAATCAAGAGCAATCTTTTCCTTCACCTGCTTCATTTTAAGCCTCGAATTGCACTACAGTGAGAAATGGGTTGGTCTTGACCATTTCCAATGCACCCACCTTATGTCGTTCTCTGTAGGTCACAGTAAAACAGTGTGCTCAGGGAGGGAAGGGCTGTACTGAAATCTCGGCAGAAACATACATGGCTCGTAATATCAAAAAACTTTATGCAACATGAAAAGGCCTTGTCAGGGCCACGCCTGGCATTCTCTGCCGAAAGAGCCTGCTACGGATGAAGTGAGCTGTAGCTCACGAAAGCTTATGCTCAAATAAATTGGTTAGTCTCTAAGGTGCCACAAGTACTCCTTTTCTTTTTGCTACAGAGAGATGTCGTCTCACTGCTTATTTTTAAAATGAGACACTTAATGCTTTTTCCTGGTTGCTGTAGGAATGGGAACTGCCGTGTATTTAGCCTTTTGGGGGATGGGGGGGAATTTTCACACTGGATTGTTTTATTAAAGTTAAGATTTTCACGTAATTGAATTGTGTCAAAGGATCTCCAGGCACCTTCAGAAAGGCTCTATAATAAGTCTCAGGAATTTACTCCTCTAAGAGGAGTGGAATCATTCATAGATTGAAAGGCCAGAAGGGACCACTGTGATCATCTAGTCTGACCGCCTGTATAATGTAGGCCAGAGAACGCCCCAAAAGAATTCCTAGAGCAGAGACTCCTGATTTTGGATGCTTCTGTTGGCAGATGCCCAAGTTCATGGCCCGTGTTTACTAGATGATCACAATGGTGCCTTCCTGCCTTGGAATCTAGCAATCTACGACTCCTTAAAGTGGACTGATTTTCAGGGAGTGTTTAGCACCTGCCCCCTGGGGAGAATACAAGAACAAAAAAACACCCCCACACCCATGTCCCTAAAGCATCCGTTTGGGCACTCAATTCTAGTCACTTTTGACAATCTTTGCTTCAGAGACGAATGCTGGCACATTTTGCGGGGGACAGCGCTACCCACTGACCTTGGTCAGCCCACTCCAGGAGAGAACACATGAGTTTTATGCCATACGTTAGCATTACCTCTGCATAAACATGTCTCGACGACCTTGTAGGGAAAACCCTTCGCCGGCTCCTCATGGGGCACATTGTTCAACCAGATTTTCAGAGCAAGGGGCTAAGAGTCAGGAATCCTGTGCTCCGCTCTAATCTCAGATAGTACCCCCCCGCTGTCGTAGCGGTTTACCTCACAAAGTTGTAACGACAGTATCCTCACACCCTCCTGTGAAGCAGGGCCGTGCAATTACCCCTACCGTACAGAGGGGGAAACTGTGGCACAGAAAGCTTCAGTGATTTGCTGTGCCACAGACACTCTCTGCGACTTGGGCAAGGAACTGAACTCAGGTTTCCCAAGTCCCAGGTTTGTGCCCTCCTCACTGGGCCCTCTTTCCTCTCCTGACTTGCAGTATCGATCTCTGTGCTGCAGTTCCACCCCCCCTCCCACATCAGTGACAAGCGTGTGATGCCTCTCATGCAGGGTTGAGCAGCTTTGCCGTATGTATTCAGGGACACTTAATGCAGGTTAAGTCTATTCTGTACGAGAGAGGGAAAGTTATTCTCCTCCCTTCTCTCAGCTCAACCTACACCGCTCTAAACTTCAGCACACCTGGGAGGCAGTTTCCACAGAGAATCCAGCACCCTCTGGTCGGGAAAAGCCCAAACAAAACCTGTCTCTTGGAAAGCACCTTAGAAGCAGCAAGACAGGCTCCCACAGCTAGAGCTTGGTACCAAGTACTGGAGTTGGAGGCCTCCTGAGAATGCCTTATTCCCTCACCCCTCTGGGCTGAATCCTGGGGGACACAGAACCGGGATTACGTCCCCCACTCAACTAGCCAGGCAGGTCGCGAGCTGGGTCTGGGCCCGGGAAGCGCTTAGCGTTCCTCCAGGGAGCAGCACTTATACTGCACTTTCAGTCCTCCCCCTCCCCACCACTCACTCCCTTCTCCGCCGCTTTCAAGGCCTGGCTGGTTCTTACCACTTGCTCCTGCCCAGGTGTGGGCTGGGCTGCAGCCTGCGGCTGGGGCGGCATTGGAGCCTGTTGCTTTGGCGGAGCCGCCGCGACCGCCGTCTTCTGCTGCATGGCTGCCTGCTGGGCGATCAGCTGCTGCTGGTAATAGTTCTGCATCAGTTGCTGCTGCGCTGGCGCCCCCTGCTGGATCACTGGAAACGGCGACACTGCTGGCTGCGGCATCGCTGGGTACTGCAGGGCCGTGACAGACATGGAGAGCCACGGCAATTGGGGAAATAAAAACAAGCCATGACGACTTCGAGGCCGTCTGCAAAGGGCTACTAGGAAACTGGAGTTGTGCCCTAAAACGTAGAAACCTTTTCTATTCCTTCCCACCTTTATCAAATGTTAAAGAGACGAAGGTCTCCTCTTTCCTTGTTTGGCGGGTATCTTCATGGCAGGACCCTGAGTCAACACACCTACCTGTTCAAGTTTAAGAAAGGCTTCCCTCGACCACGTGTCAATCAGGCGTTAGGCTTATACGAAGGTTATATTGGGTACACTTACACAGCAAAGGAAAGCCTGCAGCTGGCCTGTGCCAGCCGACTCAGGCTCACGATGCTTGGACTTGGACCCACCTTGCAGGGTCCCAGAGCTCGGGCTCTAGCCCCGAAGTCTACATAGCACTGAAACAACCCTGCTAGCCTGACTTGGCTAGCACAGGCCAGCTGCAAGTGTCTAGTTTCTGTATAGACATATTCAGCATAAACATCCCTTCCCCTGTTTAGCAGTCAGGCCCGGTCTTGAATGGGGAGTTTTGCACCTGCACTGGGCCCCATTTGACATTAAACGTACTGTGTCTATAGCACGGGTAATTACAGCAACTTTGTCACAGAGTATGAGAGTAGAATTAAACACATATCGCTTGGCCAAAGGACAAGCCAACGGGACTATAACACTCCATCGGTAGCTGCTTAGATTGCAAGCAGCAGCCTTGAGTCAACGGATGGGTGCTTTTCTCATGCTGGGTCGAATGACGGCAATTGTACATCAAAACACCCCACTGTTCAGATGGACTAATGCGATTTGTTCGGTGAATTATCGGTGAACTTTTTCTGGCTAGTTACGGAAGTGGGTGATTGGCTGAGAAAGATCTTCCAGTGATGTTATAGCCGCGTTGGTCCCAGGAAGTTAGAGACACAAGGTGGGCGAGGTCATCTCTTTTAGTGGACCAACCTCTGTCGGTGAGAGAGAGAGAGAGACACACACACGCTTTTGAGCTTGCATGGTGCTTAACACAGACCAGAAGACGAACTGTGTGTGGCTTGAAAGTTGTCTCTCTCTCACCAGTGGAAGTTGGTCCAATAAAAGATATTCCCTCACTTACCTCATCTCTCTAGTTGGAAGAGAGACTTTCCCAAAATGGTGCAATCAATTGACCAGTAAATCAGTGTGCAGCATCAGCAGTCGCCGTGCTATGGAAAAGTGACACATAAGGCCAAGACAAGGTCCTGCCGCTGGAGGTCATGAAGACCATCACAGCGCTTTTTTGGCGGAGTCCCAACTTCACTAATTCCAAGCAGCCTGCTTAAGAATTCCCTGGTCTGTTGGGTAGGGCTCTGGCCTCGGCGGCAGACGACCTAGGTTCCGTCCCCAGCTCTGTCAGTGCTGGGACACCCTGGGTAACTCACTTTGCCTCTCTGTTCCTCATCCTGCCTCCCACCCTTTGCCTGGTTAGCCTGTAAACTCTTCAGGGCTGTTCCCCGCTCAGCTACACAGCACAACCCAATGAGGCCCTGATAGTGCCTTGAGTCATCAGCTGCTAACAATCGAAAAGAGAATAAAGAAACCTCCTCGTTCCTCTCACACTTTTGTGCCTCTGCTGAGAGCAGGTTGGAGACATTTGAACTTGCCACCTTGTGGCACCGTGGCCTAGCACGGGCGCTGGACGCACGGAGAAGCGGCCATGCTTACCTGCTGGGCTTGCATCATCTGCTGTTGCTGCTGCTTCAGGAAGAGCTGCTGCTGATGCGGAGGGGTGGCCTGCGGCTGAGTAGAAGGGACTGGCGACGGGGCTACTGGGGCCTGCTGAGGAGCGGGCGGCTGCTTGGGCTGGGGCTGAGGGGCAGGCTGTGGTTGAGCTTGCGGAGGTGGTGCTTTAGGCTGCTGAACGCTTGCAGGAAGGGCGGGCTGGCCACTACCCAAAGCAGCAGGGCCTGCCACTAAGAGGGGAAAGACAACGTAAGTAGAGATCAGAGCATGCAAAGGTCCCGCTGCCTGGCAGAGCTCCAGCAGGGTCCAGGAACAATGCTTACACTCGGCCTCCCCTGAGAGAAGAGTCCTCAAGAGAGGGAGCATCCTATTGTTCTTCAGGAGCATCCCAGGGGGATGTAATAGGGAATTGTATCCCTGGCTATAGAATGGTTCCAAAAATCCATAGGTTCTCAGCTAGGCTGTCTAGAGTCTCAGAGCAGGTCAGACAGCACCAATGATTTTCACAGGAAATTTAGGGTTTTTGGAAGTTTCCTGTGAAAAATTCCGTTTGACAAAGTAAAAAAAAAAAAAAGAGTACTTGTGACACCTTACAGACTAACCAATTTATGTGAGCATAAGCTTTTGTGAGCTACAGCTCACTTCATCGGATGCATACTGTGGAAAATACAGAAGATGTTCTTATACATACAAGCCTTGAAAAAAAATGGGTGTTTACCACTACAAAAGGTTTTCTCTCCCCTCACAAGCTAATACCAACAGGAGAGTGGGCTTATCTAAAGTGATCACCCTCCTTACAATGTGTATGATAATCAAGGTGGGCCATTTCCAGCACAAATCCAGGTTTTAAGGAGAGCGATCACTTTAGATAAGCTATTACCAACAGGAGAGTGGGTTTGTGGGGCGGGGGGGGGGAGGGACCTGGATTTGTGCTGGAAATGGCCCAACTTGATTATCATACACATTGTAAGGAGAGCGATCACTTTCGATAAGCTATTACCAGCAGGAGAGTGGGTTTGTGGGGGTGGGGGGGGTGGGAGGACCTGGATTTGTGCTGGAAATGGCCCAACTTGATTATCATACACATTGTAAGGAGAGCGATCACTTTCGATAAGCTATTACCAGCAGGAGAGTGGGGTGGGAGGAGAGAAAACCTTTTGTAGTGGTAAACACCCATTTTTTTCAAGGTTTGTATGTATAAGAACATCATCTGCATTTTCCACAGTATGCATCCGATGAAGTGAGCTGTAGCTCACGAAAGCTTATGCTCCGATAAATTGCTTAGTCTCTAAGGTGCCACAAGTACTCCTTTTCGCGAATACAGACTAACACGGCTGTTACTCTGAAAGAAAACAAAGTTTCCAAAAACACACACACACACACAAAGTGTTTATATGTTACTGTCAATTGAAAAAAAAAAAAAAAACTTTACCAAAGTATTTTCAAGATTTCATTTAAAAAAAAAAACCCAAACAAAAACTACAAACTGTTGGCCAGGATCAAAGAGTTCTGCAAAACGTTTTGGTGGCTAGAAAAACACCACACACTTTTTTCCTCCCCACTGAAAAAAGGTATCAGCTAGCTCTAGTTCTTAGACTAAACTTCCTTAGAAGCCTGTTCAATTTCTGTAAGACTCTCTGTACTCGGTTCTACAGAATTTTTGCCATAGGACTGAAGTGTTGGAATGAATTTTATTAGGCAAATTCAAGGAGCTTCTGAGCATGCTCAGGTTCTGTTCTGTGGATTTTGTAAGGCGGCCACGACTCACCTTGTGGTTGGATGACTGCTTGGGCTGTGGGCCTCTTTCTAGGGGTGAGGGCTGGCTGAATAGGCAGAATTCCAGGGTTGGGTTGTGTCTGTCCTGCTTTAGGTCTCTGACGTGGAGCTATGGATGTTTCCATTGGAGGAATGGGATCAGTCAGCCTGGGTCGGGGGAAAAACAAAACATGAATAGAAGATAAACTGCTTCCAATTAGCTGCTTGAATGAAAAATGTTTTACTGGGCTACTGACCACCATGGACAGGGATTCCCAAGGCAGGACACTGCTATGGTTACATAGGTCTGACAGACATAAGGTAACCATAAATCAGAGCCATCTACATCAAAAGCCCGTTAGATTCCCATTAAGTAAGGCAAAGGAGCAAAGAACTAAATTTACCTGCAAAGTTCAGGCAAACCAACATTCTAGCCCAGTGGCCAGTAATAACAAGATTATTCTGTAAAAATACTATTACTTAATAACAGGTTTCAGAGTAGCAGCTGTGTTAGTCTGTATTCGCAAAAAGAAAAGGAGGACTTGTGGCACCTTAGAGACCAAATAAATTGGTTAGTCTAAGGTGCCACAAGTACTCCTTTTCTTATTACTTAATACTTACACAGTGCTTTTATCAGTAGATACTGAAGTGTTTTACCAAGGTCAGAGAGTATCATTATTCCCACTTTAAAGGGGAGAGTAAATGAGGCCAACAGAGGAAGGGACTTGCCCAAGGTCACCAAGCCAGGCAGTGGCAGAGAAGGGAACAGACAGACACTGTACCTCCTGATTCCCAATCTGCTGCTTTACCTGGTTTGCGGAACTCCCTCCATGACCATGCAAACTGGGGAGGGTAGCACATAGCATTGCTCTGACTGTTGCCAACAGTGCTTAAGTAGCAAGTGAATAATCAAAGCGAAAGACACACACACTGGAGCAAATATACATGAGTCATTCCTATGGAGGCTACTGCAAGTCATTTGGAAGTTGAAACAAATGCACTCGCAAAATTAATCCAGCACGTTCATTTTGCCTGCTCTTGTGATTATGGCTTTTCATCTTGCTGGACAGCTGGAACTTGTCAAAAATCGCTTAATGCATTCAAACTGTTTGACACAACATACTATTTAAATTTGGACTTTTTATAGATTTATGGAAGAGCAGATGAAGGGCATAATGAATTCGCTTTATGGCAGCTGGCATCCTCCAGCAGAACTATATAGATTGGCATCTTAAAAAGTACTCTTAATGAACTGTCTTGGCTTCAACCAAAGTATCAGGTACTATACATTTCCCTTCATATTTATCATCCCATAATAATGCAAACCCACAGGGCACTATTGTGCCATGCGGCGCTCAAGACATCTTAATGTCTTTCAGTATTTTTTTTGATCGCTGAGCTAGATAAGAAATTACTCTATTATTATTGAAGCTCAGGTATAAAAAAATACTACTAAGGGAAACTTCTGGGGCTAATTGCCAGTAGGTAGAGGACATCACAAGATTCAGAGTAGCAGCCGTGTTAGTCTGTATTCGCAAAAAGAAAAGGAGGACTTGTGGCACCTTAGAGACTAACCCATTTATTTGAGCATAAGCTTTCGTGAGCTACTTGATGAAGTGAGCTGTAGCTCACGAAAGCTTATGCTCAAATAAATGGGTTAGTCTCTAAGGTGCCACAAGTCCTCCTTTTCTTTTTGCGACATCACAAGAGGCATTCTTTCAGAGTCTGATTGTTATCTACATAGGGCTATGAATATACTAGTCACTCTGCAGTAAATATAAAAGGTGTACTCAGGGCCCTGAAGAGTTTACAGTCTGATCCAAGGCTATCAGAACGCCACGGAGCAGAAAAAACAGATGCATTACAGCAATATGCTCCCTATGTGGTAGATTCTCAATCCCTGGCAGACTCCAGATCTTTGCGGATTGTCATCCCAAGAGATGATGTTCTAGCTCCAGCAGAAGCGCTGGGTGAAGTTGTCAGGCCCATGTTTTGCCGGAGGTCAGACTAGATCATACTGGGTCCTCCTGGCCTTAAAAAAAAAAATCTACCAAAGTTGATGTGGTTGCTCTGCAGGTTTATACTCTGGGGGCCTCACCCAAAGGCCACTGAAGTAAAGAGGAGTCTTTCTCCTCATTTCAATAGGCTCTGGATAAAGCCCTTAGTAGGGATGCTGCAGTACAGACTGAAAGCTTTGGCATATGGACTTCAAGCTGTTACACTGAAACAGTGCCATTAGTTTACAAAATCTAGCAACTGACTCAGACGCAGCATTGTGCGTACGAGGAAAGAACTCTTTCATCTTGCCATTTGCTGTCTTTCACTTTAATGGGCATTTTTGTTTTAAATTACAAGTCCCAGGATCACAGTATAAACCTCAAACTATTTCTACCGGGTGAGCCAAAAGAGAACACTGGTGGGTTTTTTTTAAAATGGAAACAGTTCAAAATCTGAAAAGACACAGATGAAAAGAGAAAGATGTAGAAGACAGATGCTCTTACCTGGCCTTTGGCTGGCTCTTTTTTGCAGCTGCTTCACTTGCTTTCACTGGTTCTGGGAGCTTAGCAGGCAGCGGAGAATTCTGAAAATCCAAAAACCACTGGGTTTACTACACAAAGTAGAAATCATGCAGGATTGTAGATAAAGTTTGCAAAAGAGCCGCAGCAAAGTCAATGGGATTCAGGATCCTTAATCAGTCAAATTTGCGCATTTTTCAAAAATGACAACTATCCCATCATTAATGGCCTAGGGAAATAGAGCATGGAAACCCTTCCAATGTTAAAAACAACAGACAACCTTATAAATCGGGACCAAGCCAATTTTGTAGTGTCTGGTTACCGTTTGTGGAATTTGAACACAAATATACAAACAGAAGGTTGACATGACACAAATGGGTATTTTAAAAGGTAACAAATATAGATTAATGAATAAAATTTATTAATATTTGTATGGAAACTTCACACATATTCACTATGACAAAATAAAAAGTTGGAAATATGCTCCAAACAAGAGAAATGTAATCAGAAGCGGAATGGAAAAGCCAGGAAGGTCTCCAAACCATTATCTTTAGGCGACTGGATGAAAGTTTTGTACCACCCAAATATTCTTAACACAGTATAAAGCACCTGTAAACCACAGTTTTGAATTGGATTCTAACAAGATATACTAAATAACATCATCAGATGACTATTACATTTACTGTACATTTTAAATGGAATTTGGCTAATCTCAGGTAACCAGGCTATAGCCACAAACCCAACTGCAGTACAGATTACATACGCGATGAAGAATTCGCCTGGAAATCAGTTTCACAAGCATGGTCTAGTTTGCCATATACACATACACCTCTACAGAAGGTCCCCATGACAGCCTCGTACTGGTAAACCGGGCATGGTAGTAAATAAGTGATTTGCAAGGGCTGGCGTTGGGGTTTCCCCACGCACGCACACACCATAGGGAGTGGAGAACCAAACCAAACCAAAAAACCAGCATACGCTTCTGTTCATTATAGGCCTGGGAACCCACGGATGCAATCGGCCGGTTTTCCTAATTTTCAGGGTCGCCCCCATTTTTCACACGAGTGACTGTAGCACCGCCCATGGTTTGTCTAGCAGCTCTGCAAGACTTCCATTACTACTTACACTCATGTAAACACCAGGAGTACGTAGTCATTTAATGTTGCTTACGTATCAGCTGGAAAAGATGAAGGCCTAAATTTTCTAGAGGAACTACCGATTTTTGGGGGACCCTAACTTGAGCCACCACCGAAGGGTCTGATTAATCGCTTTGGAAAGTTTCAACCTAAATGCGTTAAGAGACCGAATCGATTCTGAAACGTAGCTATACTGTGAACTTCCCCACCTCCCTCACACCTGCAATGAGCAGGCTTCCAATACCCACGGAACAAAAACATGGGCAGCATCCCAACCCTTCCCCACACACCCCACCTCCCAATACCACAAGACATTAATGAAGAGAGAGTCATTGCCAGTGTAGTGCAATACACAGAAACCGCCCCCCTACACCACCCTCTTGTACTTTGCTGCAACGTTCTTGGAATCCCCTGGGCTGTCCTCTTTCTGGGTTCAATCATTGCGACCTGCCTTTGTTCCTGTCCCAAAACTGAAGTGCACATAAAAGAAGGGCACTTAAATGCATCCCCCCCTTCTCTCCTTCCAAGAGACATGTTTTCACTGCCTCCTTTGATAACACTCAGCCGGAGAGCATTTGTTGATTTTTCTTGGGCCTGTAGATCCAAACCTCCAGAGATTTATCCTTCCTAGCCTCCCGCATTTTCACATCACATAGAAGCTGTCAAATCTCATCACCCCTTCTGCTGCTGCTGCTTTTAGACATGGTGATGGATGGATGCCACCATGAAAATAGCAAAATTACTTCCTTCCATGCACTTTACTAGTTATCTTCCCCAGAAAGCGTTTAATCTACCATCTACCTGTATTGCTCACTAGGTACGACGTGTCCTGTCCTTTGTGCAAGCACTGATTCCTAGTGGTCTCAGACAAGCTATCTGCCATTCTTATACCCCAGAGCCACAAACTAAGCAATGGGTTTCTCCAGCAGCCTAAATTAAATGGAGATAAGGAATAATAGCGCAAAGAACCTTCAGATGGATTCAAGCCCCAACTCCACTGAAAGGGTCCATGGTCACTCACCTGTACATTTGGGATGGGGCACTCCCTCTTTGTTAACTTGAATGCAAAGTAAGAGACCTGGTAAATATCAGGTCTCTTGTCAGGGTCTGGTTCAAGCATATACCCTAAAAAAAAAAAAAAAAACCATCATTAGAAGATGCAGATTCATGGATAATCATGTAGCTCATGTCTGCCATATATGCACATGGTACATGAGCCACACCTTCCAGGTCAAGTTTGGATTGCAAGACAGCAAATCTCTAACAGGCATCAAGAGACTGTGTACTTAATGTACTTATTCTGCTGCAATTGTATGGATTCTACACATATAGACCCAAGTACCAAATCTTGCACTGGACCCGATGGGGTTATACAGCGTACATATCGTGGCTTAGAGCGTCCAAGAAGTCTTTAATCGCAATCATGGAGCCTCACTGAAGGCAATAGCAAGGTTCTTTTTGACATCAGTGGGAACAGGAGCAGCCGCAGTTCCTTCATTAAAATACCAAGTCAGTTTACTTTCCTAAACAAGCCAAGGCAAGCATATTCACCTACCAATGGAAGTTTTAAATGGTGCACCGACAGTAAAAGTCAGCAGACTTCTTGGTGTGTCCTTGGGCCAAGTTACTTCCCCTGTCTATAATTCAGTTCTCCAACTGTAAATCAGGGATACAGATACTTTCTCCTACCCTTTATTTCGGCTCTTTAGATAGTAAATTGTTTGGAGCAAGGACCAGCTGTTGCTATGCGTATGTATAGCAGCTGGCACAACAGAGCGCTGATCTCAGTTGAGGCTTCTAGTCCCTACAACGATGACAACAGAAAACTTTCTAATGCTCTACCCATCTCTGCCTGAGAGTAGCTGAAGGACAAACGTCTGCACAGACTTGTCCCCTACATAAAACTTGAAGTCAGTTTAATATCTGCTCAAACCAGGGCATATGGAGAAGTATCAGCTTATTTTGAAAACATGTCAGAGTCTGCGTTACTCACACACAACTGGCAAAACCAAATGCTCTACTGAAAGCAGGCAAGATATTCCAGCTTTGCTGAGAGTAATGCATCGTACCCTTAATTACACAGTCACTTGAGTCAGTGGGTTATTTGTAATCGTTTTACTTCTGTTTCTCAGTTCACAGAAGACGAAATCTTATCACGAGGCTAAATCACTGTGGCTCCTTATGCAAATAGACTTATTACTGGAGAAACATTTTTGCATAAAGAGGCTTATTGTGCAAATTTCGGTAGCAATCTTAACCCAAATGGTTGTCTATTTCCCTAGTTTTCCACATAGATTATCACAGTCCATCCAAATAGAAACTCTGCTATTATAACCATCTTTGGCACAGCCATCTTCTAAATTACTGTAAACTCATTCGTTTCATCCTTGCATGTGAACAAGTCTTTTTGAAAGAGAGAACATACTCCAGTTCCTTAGCTCTAATAATTGGGAATTAGAAAAACTTCATTTGGAACATGAAACCAAAACTCTGCTATTGAAACGGATATACTCACGTATGAGACAGTGCATGTCTTGGGAGTAGCGAGAGTTGTCTGGAATGGTGAAGTTTCCATCACAAATTGCCACCTGACTCTCCCCAAAGGGTAAAGTAAAGTAACACAATTTGTACAGTAAACAACCAAGGGCCTAAAGAGAGGAAAGAACAGAAAGAAATATTTAAACAGTAACTACTGCCATCATAGATTAAAGAGGAAGGATGGCCCAATGGTCAGAGCACTAGCCTGGGACTCGGGAGAACCAGGTTCAATCCTTGCTTTGCCACAGGTTTCCTGCATGACCTTGGTCAAGACATTTAGCCTCTCTGTATCAGAGTTCCCAATCTGTAACACGGGGATAATCGCACTTCCCTACCGGACAGGAGGATAAATACCTTAACAACAACATGAGGTGATCGGATACTATGAAAATGGAGGGCAGATAAGTACCTAAGATAGATCACACGCATTATTAGCCACAACACTGCCTCAGTCCACATATCAATATGTATATGAAGGAGATTGAGATATGGCTACTTGGTCCCTACTTCAAATTCATTTAAATATACTTCAGATGCGTTGGGCCGAGTAGGAGGCCAAAAGGTTGTAGGAGCTTCAATCATATAAACTCTTCATCCACATTTGCCACTGTCCCCCATTGTGGGGAGGGCTGTTTGGAGTAGAAAGAACAGTTCCACAGTACAGAGATTCTCTTATGGCTGAGGATTTTGTCTACAAGGATTTCTCTGACCAGAGAAATTTCTGTTGTCATAAATCAGACTGATTAGGTCAAGGTCTAGTCACAGCTGCAAGCTACTTTTAAAACGCTCCACACAGTCCCGAAAAGAGGGAGGCCTTATCTACCCTAGAAAGCTTTAAACACACCGGGATAAACAAACTGGCTAAACCCTTTTAGGGCTTATCTACATGCACATTTAGCTGGCGGCAAGCTGGCGCGTGAATCTACCCCACTCTAGCCTGCCTTCCTCTAACTGTCCGTGCGGACTCTGCTGATGGTCGAAGCAGATCGACAGACTTAGTCCTCTTATCTAAGGGACTAAATCAAAGTATATTAAACTGCTAATGTGCATGAACTGGGTCCATATAGACGGTTAGTCTGCAACAGGCTAGCCCAGGATAGATTCATGCCCAGGCTTGTCACAAATTGATGGTTTGTGCAGACAAGCCCGTAGTGTAGATGCAGTTCTATGAATATAAGAGTTCCCTGAAGCTAGACCAGTATGAGCGCTTGGATACTGGTATCAATTGAGTCCATGCTGGGAGTTGTACTGCTAAAATGTGACAGCCCTAACCAAAATAGTTCCACCTGAACTGAATCTGTGTGTAGACAAGGCCAAAGTAAATTTGTATTAGTTGAAAACAGAGAGTAGTAGGTGAAATACAATGGAAAGGAGGTTAAAAAAAGCAGGATGGTCTCAGGGAATTGCCAGATTATAATTGGACAAATGGGAGGGGGGGGGAGAAGAGAGAGAACATGGATTGTATTCGGGTAATTGGGAATTCAGGCAATCGAGAGGGCAGGAGCTGTTCAGCAGCAGGGTGGCTTCTTCTGTGGACAGGGGCTTGTGCTCACAATCCTGGCCAATGGTCTCTGCTCTGCCCTGCTCACTTGCTCCTGCGTCAGAGGGGCTGCGGAAGGCTGGCTGCCACAGGAGGACCTCCCACACAGCCACAGGTTCATTGTCCTCCTTACAGCCCTGGCCCTGGGTCTGTTCTGTTATCTGAGCCTCTGCATTATCCAAATCCCTTCTCTCCCCACTCCCCCCAAATGTATTTCATGTATCTCCTGCTCAGGGACAAGGAAGGGTTCAGAAAACGTGGAGGTTTGACAATAGGGTTTGTTAATCAGGAGTATACTGTATACTAGACTGGCAAAGTGCTTGTAGGACGGATGCAACTATATCAGCAATGCCGTGCTTCGTAGGGCATGACTCTTTCTCACCGAGCCAAACAGGGATCACACCTCATCCCGCCCCTGACAGAGCTATTCTGGCAGAGGTCTGAGGCATAGACCTGCCCGAAGAGCCAGGCCCTGCCCCAGAAAGGATACGCTCTGAGGAGACAGGCAAGACTAAGGATGGTAAGGAAACAGACACTAAGGGTCTGGGCCAGGGTCAAACAGCATGTCGGTAGCGGAGCCAGAATTAGAACCTGGGGAGTAATTCTGCCCAGGAGGGTGCTATGGTGGCATTAAGTTTTGTGCCCCCCTGCTTTCCATCTACTGAAGGGGGCCATTTTAGACTGCCTCTGGCTGGCAGAGCCACCCCAGGGCTGCCCCTTACGCTGGAGCTTGCAGGGAGCTGCCCTGCACAGAGGCTGCATTGGAACAGTTCTCCCCGGATTGGCTCCCTTTTATGCTGCCACATCCGTGCAGCTTCCAGTCAACTCCCAGTCCAGTGCCCTATCCACTAGGCCACACTGCCTCCCAAGCCAGAGGCTCCTCACAACACACAGGCCCCAGTCCTACAGCGGCTCCCATTAAACACCGAAGAATGAAAAGCTCAGTAGGACTCTGGGTGCATGCAGGCTTTTGCTGGACGGCACTCGTAGCAAGGAAAAACGGCCTCTTGCATATACTGTGCCCAGTTTTTCTTCCTCTCATATACATTGAGCTGTGTATGCAGAGCAGTTGTTGAGGCTACAGTTCAACTCTTATACACCGGTTACTGCCTGACGGTTATCTAACTCAGAACTTTCCAAAGCATTTAGCTACACCCAAGGGTAACGTTTAAACTAAGCCATTCCATTCATCACTTCTGCAGAATCACTGTTCCGCTGGGACAGAGACAGGATTCTCTTCTCTTTCCCCCCCCACTCTTTCTGATGTGAAGATAAGCTGCCTTTATTTTATTAGGTTATACGGCTGCACATTGCTCAACCGTCACATTGCACCTTCAACAGGACAGCAAGTCACAAACAGGTTTGGACGTCATCGCCAGAAACCGAGCACTGCAAAATCTTAGTGAGGAAAAAATCTGGCCAGGTTTGGGAATCCAGGGCCAAGGGTAGGAACCCATGTCAGACTTTTTAAAAAACACAAACACAAACAGTATAGCTTTGATTTTGTGTGGTTGAGACCCACAACCAGGTGCAGCTTTGGATCCGTTCCCGTCGGGGGGTGGGGAGGGGGTACAACTGCAACCAGTGAATTTCTTACGTCTCTGAATTAAAGCATTACAAGAGGGTGCAGAACAGAGACGCAATCATGTTTCATCAATTGGCTCCGTCATTTGAAATACCACAACACAAAGATCAAATGGAGCCTCTCTCTATGCAGAACTTAGGCAAAAAAAACATACACCTCTACCCAGGTAAAACGCGGTCCTCAGGAGCCAAAAAAAAAAAAAAAAACAACAAAAAACAAACAAACACACAAACCACAAAAAACAAAACTTACCACGTTATAGGTGAAACCGCATTATATCGAACTTGCTTTGGCCTTGAGCATTTCCATTATTAATAGTCACTTCCCACCCCGACTGACCCCTCAGAACCCCCGACCCATCCAACCCCTCCCGATCCTTGTCCCGACTGCCCCCTACAGAGACCCCCGCCCCTAACCACCCCCCCCAAGACCCTATCCCCATCTAAGCCCCCCTGCTCCTTATCCCCTGACTGCCCCCTCTAGAGACCCCCTTAGTCCCTAATCACCCCTACCCAACCCCCCCCGCTCCCTGACTGCCCCGACCCCTATCCACACCCCCTGCCAGGCCCCTGGAACTCCCACGCCATATCCAACGCCCCCGTTCCCCGACTGCCCCGCTCCCAGAACCGCCGAACCAGCCAACCCCCCCTGCTCCTTGACCGCTCCTCCCCCAAGACCCTCTGCCCCTTATCCAACCCCTCGGCCCTGGCCTGACACCCTTAACACGCTGCTCAGCGCAACCCTGCCCCCCCAGAGCGCTGCTTTACCATGTTATATCCGAATTTGTGTTATATTGGGTCATGTTATATCGGAGTAGAGATGTATATGTAAATAACTGTTTAGGTATATCCAATAGTTATCAAGTAATCAAAGTTTTGTTTTTTCCCTCCCAAGGCTGCAAGTCAATTATGTGACTTTTGAGTGGGTTTCATACATACCCATATATCTGCTTTTGTAGTAATAAGTTGGCCGCTATACAGGTTGACCATTTCTGGTGCTCTATAGGACAGTGTCGTGTACCTACAACAAAAAGCTTCATTAGTTAATTGAAGTCACAGGGTAGTGAGTTGGGGAAGGAAATCCATTTGTTTTAATTGCAAAGGATTCCCTTCCCCACACCCCAACAATTCAAATTTTACTTTTCTATAATAGAAATGCACTAGGTGCTCAAGTTCTAAACCAGCAAGAAGGATTTCTAATGCATTTTATAGGTTGAAGTATTTTACAGGATAGAATGAAGCTGGTTATAAAAGAAAAAAAATTAACTCCCACAAACTTCCCAGGGAAATGAGGGCTACTGCAAGATCCTTTTAACAGCCAAGAGTTTGCTCTCAAAAAGTCCAAATCTCTTAAAAACCAGAGCTAGTAACATTCAAAAATTCAGAATGTTATCTTGCTATTCCACATCGGTTGTTAGCTGCATGTCCCTTGCACTGTCCTCACTCCCGGGGCTTTGGACAAAATCCAGTCATCGTAACTGAAAGCGTGGCTTCTAATAAATAGGCTTCCATGCTGGGAGTTCTGCTCAGAGGTATTGTGAATGGGAGGAAAATTACTTTATAAAAACAAATGGTAATTGAAAACTGCACCAGTTGTAACTAAAGTACTGGCAAAAGTCAGACACAGTCTAAAAGATCCCTAATAATGAGGTTTCGTCTGAAGGTGGTTTAAGGATGCTGTGGTCTTAGTGTGCTATTTGCCACACCCTTTCATAATCAAGGTAAAGGGCTGGCTTCTTTTGCAAGCTTAGCAATAAGTGCGCAAACAGGCTTGGACTGCTTTGCAAGGTTAGGAGCACTATAAAATCTAAGTCAAAAGGCTGTACATATGAGAGGCAGGACAGACTCACTTTTCACAGGGTTTAGTCATTCCCATGCAATTCCTAGCATGTGATTTATAGTCAGGGAGCGTTAGAGTAATCAAAGAGTTTTCAATAGAGATTTTAAGCTATACGAGACCCCAAGTCCCCCATTCTCTGTCCCTTCCTTTCCCCACATATCTTCCCTCCACCACCTTCTCCCTGACTCAGGATCACCCAACTTCTCTCCCCTTTTAACAGCTTCCTCGGGACCACACTTTGCAGCCGCCACCTTTCAAACCTCAGAAGAGCACTTGGGCCTCTTTTCAGAGCCCAACGCTGTATTTTTTTTTTTTTTTTTTTAAGGCAACTGTAAGAGTCACTGCTGGAGTAATCTAGGGTGGTCAGGGATTATTTTGTCATGTTCATTGCCTCGCAGCGCAGGCAACCCCGGGAGAAAGGAGCTGAGACATACTGACCCCCATGATGTAGACCACTGAGCTGATCAGTATCTGTCAATACAAGGGTTCTATTAGTCCTAAAGCAACTTCCTGGCTTTCTGGAGTAATTTGTTTTCTCATCCGCGAAGCATCCAAACTACCATGCTTAAACCTATGCACAGGTTAGCATCACCACCACCACCACCAGGCTAGAATCAGGGCCCTATTGTGTTAGGTGCTACATAAACACAGAACAAAAAGACAGGCCCTACCCCAAATAGCTTACAGTCTACGTTTAAGACAAGAGACAACAGATGGATACAGATAAACTGTTGGGGAAACAATGAGACAATATTGGTTACCATGACAGACAGACAGTGGTCCCAGCACACCAGCAGCCTAATGGTGGTCATGGTTTTTTGGTAGGTATCATGACAAAGGAGAGTTTTAAGGAGAGCTCAGAGGGAGAATAATGAGGTAGCTTTGGGGAGGTTTAGAAGTGTGAGGGGCAGCATGGGAGAAAGCGTAAAGGAGTTTGTTTGAAACTTTAGCAGGTGAGTGATGGAGGCTGGCATCATGGACCAATTGGAGGCGGCAGTCAACATACTGGTGTAGAGAGACAGACACTTACTTCTTGATCTCCTCTTCCACTGCATTCACTCCTTCGGTTTGAGGGTTCTGGAATTTGTTGGTGGCACTTCCGAAGTCACACAGGACATAATGGCCACGATCATGGAGCAGGATATTTTCAACCTAAAAGCATTGCACACAAAACACATCCATTTCTTTGCATTAAACAAGATTTCTCCTCATTTTCTATAGCCACAGCAACATGAATATTGGTTTTTTTAGATTCTACAGCACACTCCGACTCAAACTTTAAGGTCAGAAGGGACCATTCGGATCATCTAGTCTGACCTCCTGCACAACGCAGGCCACAGAGTCTCACCCATCCACTCCTGTAACAAACCCCTAACTTATGTCTGAGTTATTAAAGTCCTCAAATCGTGGTTTAAAGACTTCAAGGACCAGAGAATCCTCCAGCAAGTGACCTGTGCCCCACACTATGGAGGAAGGCAAAAAACCCCCAGGGCCTCTGCCAATCTGCCCTGGAGGAAAATTCCTTCCTGACCCCAAATATGGTGATCAGCTAAACCCTGAGCACGTGGGCAAGACTCACCAGCGAGACACCCAGGAAAGAATTCTCTGTAGCAACTCAGATCCCACCTCATCTAACATCCCATCATAGGTCATTGGGCATCTTTATGCTAACAGTCAAAGATCAATGAAATGCCAAAATTAGGCTATCCCATCATACCATCCCCTCTATAAACTTATCAAGCTTCGTCTTGAAGCCAGATACGCCTTTTGCCCCCACGGCTCCCCTTGGAAAGCACACGTACTAGATAAGTTTGAAATAGAAACAGTCTTATAATAAAAAGAGGGGAAGAATAGCCATGTAAACCATCAAGACCCGTGCACACCTCGGGGGGGGGGAAAATCACACAGTTGCTGCTAGAACACCATCTTCCCTTCCCCTCCATGCCTCTTTTCATAGAATCTCAGGGTTGGACGGGGCCTCAGGAGGTCATCTAGTCCAACCCCCTGCTCAAAGCAGGGCCAATCCCCAATTTTTGCCCCAGATCCCTAAATGGCCCCCTCAAGGATTGAACTCACAACCCTGGGTTTAGCAGGCCAATGCTCAAACCACTGAGCTATCCCTCCTCCTTTTCATTCCCCTCCACCCCCCCCCCCCCCCCGATTGTATTGTCTCTATTAAGACGGTCAATTCTTCAGGACAGTGACTGTGTCTTAGTTGTCTAAAGTGCCTAAACATATTGCAAGTGCTATGATCTACATTTTCAATAGTGGATTTTAATTGGGTGTGCTCAACAGGAGATGTTTAAGAGGGGCCTGATTGTCAGGAGGTGCTTAGCACCTCCTGTCTGTGGGGAAAGAAAAAACGAAAAATCAGGACCCTTTCAAGGTGCCTCAAGGTCAAAAATAACTAGTCATTTTTAAAAATCTGTGTTTATATTTTCTATGCAGAACTTGTATAGGGTACCAAGTATGGTAAAACTAAAGAAATAATATCTGAGCACACAACGTATATACACCATAGATCTGCTATCAGAGCACGTCAGCCAATGACCGACACTGACTCCAGCCCTCTCGAGCATCGTCTTCCCCACAAAACAGCTTGCAGAACTAGACCCATTAGATTAAGCCCAGTTCCTCAGTTTCTTTCCCAACCACTGGCTATGTTGATCACAGGATTGTCACTGAATTTTATCCAGCTTGATTGTCATGCAGGCTGCCAAAAGGCCTAGCACTTACAAGTGGTATTTGTTAGGCCAAAGCCATACAACTGAATACTGAAACATCTATGATGGGCACAGGGTTTGTCTCTGGCTACTCCCAATATTTAAATATTGCCAAAACACTGCGATTATCCAGGTGTCATTTCAAACCAGTAGAGTCATTGCCTTCCTCACCCTTCGCCCTTTCAACACAGATGGAGGCAGAGAAAGAGAGGAAGAAGGATAGGCCAGGGTTTGGACGCTAACCTAGGTTCAGGAGACGTCTGTTCAATTCTCCACTCCGCCACAGACTCTGAGACACTTTGGGAAAGTCACTTGGCTTCTCTACGCCTCAGAACCCCATCTGTACCAATGGGGAGAGGAGCACTGCACCACCTCACAGGGCTGTTGTGAGGAGAACCATATTAAGGCCCTGAGAGGCGCTCAGATACCTTGGGACTGGAGGACACACGGATACAGAAGATACACTGCTTCAGACATCCAATGCCATTGTACAAATATTAGCTAATAAAACGGTTTTAAAAAAGGGGCTTCCCTTCAAAGATGATCTAAAAAGAAAATGGAGCATTTTAAGCAGCAGAAGAAAATAAAGCCTACAGCAATTGCGGCTGGGAAAGAAAATGTGCTGGCTTGCTTAATCCATGCTCGTAACACCCCCACCCCTCCCCTGACATCCATCTGCTTTGAATAATGCACTGTACACCGTTCTACCTAGTAGCGCTACGTTCGAGTTATTCCTTATTCCAGGCAAACGTCCGGCAAACGTTTTCTGGAGAGCCCCTCCACTTCAGCTTGCCGAGAATTCCTACTCTGAAGCATCTAGCAAGGTTGATTATGGTGGCATCGGGCTCTTAACATGCAGCTTTCTTCCGACCCCCTTTCAGTAACTTCCAAAGAAAATAAAGCGTTTCTGATGAGAAATGTATGACTGTTGCTGACTGGTGGGCCAACAGAATGGACGGTCTGTTTCAACACCAGGCAGGAGGCGCTTTCGTTCAAGTCAACGAACTCGACAACCGGGGCCAGATTATTACCGACGCTGAGCGCTGAACTCTAGATCAAGTCAGTGGGAGCTCAGCGGTTCTACCGTCAGACATTTACACTCCAAAACAGAGACAGATGCGGGAAAGCTGTGGGTTGCTTTGGCCTCATTAGCTGAGGGACATAGCCTTTGACTGACTCAGAGGCAGCTACTGGTCCCTGCTAATGCAGCGAGAGAAAAAGGTAACGGGGCAGAGGAAGTGGGATAGATCCGTATTTTCTTTAGTTGACAAGTAATAGGCACCTATTGCCTACATCTCTAAAGAAAGCCATAGCTTCAGACCTTGCATGTTGCACTTAATATGGCCTAAAATTTTCAAATCTAAGTGATCTGAGGTGCTTTAATAGTTGGGTACTTGACTGAGACACCTTGAAAGGGGCGGATTTTCAGAGCATGGGTGCTCAGTGCTTTCTGAACAGGGCCCTTTAAGGTGTCTCAAGCTAGGCATCCAAATATTAACACCCCCCCACAACCCCCCTTCCCCCAGTTACAGTTTTACTGTAATATTTTATAGCAAAAACCACTGCACACCACCATAGCCTGTGGAAATATTATGAGTCTGGCATACTATCACCGTGGCCAAGATAATGCTTAATTATTATAGTCAAGTTTCAACAAATATACATCGCTAGGCTGAACATAGAAGCCATAAAAAAAACCACCACACAAAAAAACCCCCACACACCCCGAGACAAATTTTTCTAGGTGGTGAGCTGGGGAACGGGGGAGAATAAATCAGATGCACAGTTGTCCAGCAGAGACTCAGTCTGCCTAGTCACACTGCATTGGAAGTATGACATTCAGAGGATTAGTGTTACTATATTTAAAAAACAAAACAAAAAACAAACAAACCAGAAATCTATAATATTAGTATGCCAGCAAACAGATTCCAATTATTCCATAGCTCAATAAGGCTGAGAGAGACTGTGTTTAGCTCACCATCATTATCTGACTTGATCAGAGCGGTGTTTTACGATCACCTGCTGCATCTCTGCTACAAGAGAAACAAGTAGTACCTCTGTCAATCCAGCCTCCTTTGCAAGTCTGGAGTTTGGAATGGGCTTGGACTAAACAGAAGTATCGTTTGAAAGAGCATGCGGCTTATCATTAAAGGGAGCGTGGAACTGACCTGTGCTTTAGAAAAAGCAAGAGTCACATCGAGCTAAAGAAGAAGAAGAAGAAGAAGGGGAGGCTGAATATTGACAAGTTATACAAACAACTGCCCGTGCAGGAACTATGGAAAGCAGAGATTCTCAATCCTTTTTCTTTCTAAGCCCACCCCCCTATAAAAACTCCACGGCTCACCTGTGCCACAACTGGTTTTCTGTGTATAAAAGCCAGGGTCGGTAGCCAGGGGGTAGCAAGTAGGGCAATTGCCCGGGACCCCATAGCACAGGGGCCCCCACAAAGCAACATTGCTCAGGCTTCAGCTTCAGCCCTGGGTGACGGGCCTCAGGGCCCAGGGCTTCAGCCCCATGCAGTGGTGCTTCGGCTTTCTACCTTGGGCCCCAGCAAGTGGAATTCTGGCCCTGCTTGGCAGCCCCCCAAAACCTGCTCGTGGCTCCGGACTCCTAGTTGGAGAACCACGCTAACACTGGTTTCAGAGTAACAGCCGTGTTAGTCTGTATTCGCAAAAAGAAAAAGGAGGACTTGTGGCACCTTAGAGACTAACCAATTTATTTGAACACAAGTTCTGTGATTGTTCCTGTCTGCTGTATAATTAATTTTGCTGGGTGTAAACTAATGAAGGTGGTGGAATATAATTGGTTACGTAATCATGTTACAATGTTAGGATTGGTTAGTAAAATTTCGTGAAAATGATTGGCTAAGGTATAGCTAAGCAGAACTCAAGTTTTACTATATAGTCTGCAGTCAGTCAGGAAGTGGGGTGTGTGTGTGAGGGGGAATGGGAACAGGGAATGGGGTGGGGAAATTGGAATCATGTTTGGCTGAGGGCAGGAATGGGAACAGGTACACAGGTGTAAGGCTCTGTGGTGTCAGAGCTGGGAAGGGGGACACTAAGGAAGGAAACTGGAATCATGCTTGCTGGAAGTTCACCCCAATAAACATCAAATTGTTTGCACCTTTGGACTTTGGGTATTGTTGCTCTCTGTTCTCTGTTCATGCGAGAAGGACCAGGGAAGTAAGTGGGTGAAGGAATAAGCCCCTTAACACTGGAGATATTATCATGGTAATACTTGCTCGGATTCTCCTACCACCCACCTCTTTGGGTCCCTAAAACTGAAGTTTTCAGGGAAGACTTGCTCTCTTTTAGGCATGAAGACCACATTTTCCCTAAACAGGTTTCACTGTAAAACCAGGGGGATCTGCAGCAGAGAGATCTGAAGGAACAGAAAGCATTAGAGAACACCCAGTCCAGTCTGCAAGTGAGCCGGACGTGAATGAACGCCTCAGAACCATGCTGGAGATGCTCTTACTCAAACGGAAACTTGAAACATGTTTTGAAATGCCTGGTGGTAATAAGTATGCACCTATATCAATACACACGCAATGCCAGTTATTGGATTATATGTAAGTATACACAGTACGGCTGTAAACGTGTATCCCAAATACAAAGAGATGGCTTTGTGCTCCACAGCAGGCTGCCATCCCATTGGGAACTAACAGATTGACAAAGGACACAAGGGCTCCAACCCCACATACAGTGCGTTTCCCGAACCTGAGGGGGTCAGGGTCACCGACACCCTGGGGGGGGGGGGGGAGTGTTTCCTGTCTTCTCCTACACTTTGGCAAGACTGGTATAACTTGCTGTGCCAATGAAGTCTCATTGTATTCAGCTAGAATTGTGTTCACAATATGGAGTCTTTAAGAGTAAATGAACACATACAGCACCTAGCTCATCACCTGTTGATCTCAAATTGCTTTACGAAGGAAGTCAGTATTATTATCCGGGGTGCTAGAACAATTTGTATAGCGGGGTGTTGAGAGCCATTGAACCAAACTGTAAACCCTGTATATGATGGAAACCACTTCAAGCCAGAGGGCACGGCAGCCCTCCTAATTCTAGCACCTATGTCATTATCCCCATTTTACAGAGGGGGAACTTTTAAAGTTTTATATATGGTCATATTCGGACACCCTTTCCACACTGCAATCAATGAGACTACCTTGAGAAGGTTAGTGCTAAGCAAGTAGCATCAGAATCCGGTGCACAGCATCAAATGTGACGAAAATATGAGCATCATCGTGAAGTGTCATGAACTACCAAAAACAATTCAATATCTTGGACAGGCACCCTGAAGCCTTGCACAACACAATGGTTGACATGAACCAAAACTCCATGAGATGAATAAATATAAAGATCAGAAGGAACAATTTGATTGTATTTGTGGATTGATCTGGCTTTAAGTTTATTCCCCTTTTCTTAAATGAGGCTTCCTCCCCCTCCCCCACCCCGACTGCTCTTCTGTTTCATTATATTTGCCTCCCCCAAGTGCTTTGACCGAATATTGTATCATCATCTGCACTGCGGCAGCACCTAGGGACCCCAGTCATGGCCCAGGGTCCCACTGTGTTACGTGCTGCACAAAAACACAGAACAGAACAGATGGTCCCTGTGCTAACGAGCTCAGAATCTGAATACGTGTTGTACCACAATGTACCTTTCACAGTTTGAGGACTGTATTCACTGCAACTGTGTACTTAGACATTTTACAGGCTCATTGCTCTTAAATACAAAGACGACTATTTTTTTAAATTGAAAAACCCCAAAGACTGTGGTGACACTGGATAGGCAGCAGCTGCAATGGAGGTATCCGAAGAACGAAATTTTCCTGGGTTATTTCAATACCGACACAATCTAGATTTCTCCAAGTGCTCTTCTGCAAGCTCTTTGGGGCAGGGATGGTGTTTTTGTTGCATTTATGTATTTCTGGTTGGCAACTCTGATTAGTGCTTCTAGGCGCGAAAGTAAAACTAATATTAAACTTTGTGTTCATATCCCAAGGCAGAGGATGGCAGATTGTTTCCTCAACTCATACGCGTAATCTTATCATTAAAGAGGAGCAAGATTTCTGATGTAGAAACCTCACCGATGATCTAGTGATATGAAACCAGCCCATAGCAGTCACTTTCAATTATTACTCTCTGTATATTACATACACACACAAATATAATAGAGAGTATACAGAGGGGGAGGATTAACTCATGAATCCAGCACAGATATCTCATCATTTATTCCTATGCTACATACTGATAAAGAGTTTGTTTGTAAACAATTAAATAACGCTAAAGCCAAAACATAAACAGCAGGTATGAGATTAGTCACTATCTAACAGGATCCTCTTTTTATGTGTATTGCCTATCCAAGCTACTGGAAGAGTCCCATGGACTTCAGTGGGCTTTAAATCAGGCCCTAAAATTTGTCAAAAACCAGAATCAGCTCACCCCAATTTAAAGCGGTCTACAACTGCATTCATTAGATTTGTTTCACGCATTTCAACCGACCGCACCATAGGTCACAAATACGTTAAGTGCCCTGAAGCATAACCACACCACTTAGCTGACTTAGTCTTATTACCTGGTTCCTTTTGGTGCACATGTTCTGTTTAGCTTCTCTACTAAAGTGGCCTGTCGCATAGAACAAACGTCCGTTTAAGGCTCATGGAAAATGATCCATGAAGTATATTTGAATTTCAAAACATACACATGATTCTGCTTCTTGGCCGAACACGTCATTCGGGCATTTTGGGAGTTGGTTGAGAGGAACAGGGAATTTGTGTTTTATTTCATGATCACAAGGGTGGCAACTTGAAAAGCATTCCGCATTGGCCTGACTCTGCTCCCACTAAAGTCAATGGGGGTTTGACCGCAGACTTCGACAATCTTAGCCCAGCAAAACGAAGGGTGACGGGATAGGATTGGTCTCTATAAATACATTCGGGGGGGGGGGGGAGGAGAAGAGAGGAAGAGGGAGAAAAGACCTATTTAAGCTACAGGACAACACTGGCACAAGAACAAATGCATATAAGCTGGCCATGAGTAAAGGCAGGCTGGAAATGAGAAGGATTTAAACCATCAGAGGAGCGAGGTTCTGGAACAGCCTTTCAATAGGAGCAGTGGGAGCAAACAAACTTTTTTAAATTGGAGCGCGAAACATTTATCAGCAGGATTATAAGACAGGTTGCTTTGGACAGCTGAGTACTGGCCTCCTTGATGGGTCCCATCCAGACCCACGTTCTTAACAGGCATCAGAGCCAGGTGACTGTTTCTGGAAATCTCACCCCTACCCTGTAGTGTTTTGCAGCGTCTAAACGAGGGTCAGAGTTGCATGCTCAGGCAAGGTCTGTTATACAGAAAAACCCACGGGCTGAACTCTCCACTGAAAAGGTGGCTGGAATTCATGGTGAACAATTTATCTCATGGATTTTGGTAGGCTTTTTGTGACAGTTGTTCACAAATGGCTGCATAATTTGAGCAGACCTATAGATGGTTGAACATCTGGCAAACAAGGTGACTTTTCTATTAATAGGCAAAGAATGTATTCATGAATAAATTTTCTCATCAATATAAATGTTATGGCAATATGATGAGTCCCTGATCGGGAGCGAGGGCCCATTGTGCTAGGCGTTGTATAGAGGGTAGACCCAGCCCTTGCCCAGAAGGGTTGACAATCGAATACGTTGTTCAGACACCTCCACCCCATACCATTGGTATCTACAAGTTACCTTCAGATCCCTGTGGATTATAGGCGTTTTACACTGGTGCAACCTGGCTACGGCTTCACAGGTGTCGCAAAAGATCTGCAAGACTTCATTCTCTGTGAATCCTGTCTGCAAGCGTTGGTTCATCAGGTTCACCACCTGGCCTCCTAAACGGAGGAAAAAGCAAAATTAGACCTGCACATATTGCTGAAGCACAGACCAGTCAAAAGGAGCCACCTTCTCCAAAGGGATCCAACATGCTGGGTTTTAAACTGCCTGGTATTGGGGCATGTGTGACCTTATGGGCCGAACATAATCCTGGGAACAAGGAACTCATGAGTTCCAAATCCACTTTGGACAAAATCTCTCCCTGTGGCTGTCAGCATCTCACTTAAGCAAACAACGTAACCTCCTGGTCCACTGGTAAAATCAAGTGTCTTATGTACCTTACCTGTCAGGAGGCGCCACATGGAGAATTTATGTCTGGAAAGTGATTTGAGAGTGGTTATTGATTTTCATCTCTAATATTTAAAGTTTCCACTAAGTGCTCTCACCCCCAAATCTACACTAGGAAAAATAACTGCAACATTCAAACATGTTTTTGATGCAGCCATGTTCTTTTCTTGCCTCTGTAGACATAAAACCCCCACCAGATTAGAGAAATACATTTTAGTCATGCATAGTTTGGGCTAAGCCAGCAGTTCTCAACCTTGCCAGACTACTGTACTCCTTTCAGTAGTCCGATTTGCTTGCATACCTCCAAGTTTCACCTCACTGAAAGACTACTTGCTTACAAAACCAGACATAAAAATACAAAATGTCACAGCACACTATTACTGAAAAATCGCTCACTTCCTCACTTTTACCTTATCTAATTATAAAATAAATCAATTGGAATATAAATATTGTACTTACATTTCAACGTATAGCATATAGAGCAGCATAAACAAGTCATTGTCTGTACAAAATTTTAATTTTAGAGCCTTGAGAAAGCGACAGAGCGAGAGTGAGTGACCAGTGATTTTTGGTGCCCCGATTTGCGTACCTGTCCTTTGAAAGTCTGGGTACTTCCAGGTGTTTTGAGTTGAGCACCCAAAAATCACTAGTTACTTTTGAAAACCTTGGCCATAAAACTTGTAGCAAAGGAGAAGTGTCATTTAAGTCATAAATATCAGAAGGTGTCAAAACCTGTCTAACACGAATATACTGTACAGCAGTAAACTCAGTTTTAAACTGTTCGTGCTTATATCAGAGAGTGATCTCCGCATGTGGAGGCAGAATGACGGATGTCATGAGCTCTCTTTGCCAAGGAGGAAAGCAGTGACAAGAGGAAATCTAATATTTTTAAAGAATTCTCTAAAACGTTTAGAAGCATTTGCCACCTCGGCAAGCTAGGCATTTTCAGTACAATTGTTTTCATGACCCTGGAGGACATCTGGATGCGGGTCTTCTCCGTCCCTAGCATCGTTGTGGGAAACAAAGCCTCAGCTTTCCCTCTAAACCCTATGCAACAGATGTCTCTAAAGATCTAACAGATGTGTAATTGCATCCATCTCTCTCTTGGATAGCACACTGGCAGATTCCTTTTCAGATTTGTGGTAATCAAGTCTTCATAGGAGTCTCACTGCTTGACAATGCTCATGTACCTCTCTGCCTGACCTAGGGGGTTATTCCGGAGGCCTGAAATCAATATTGTTTATACAAAAAGTTACTTTATTCACCCCTCCCCTCTGTCTGGCACTTCATTTTAATAACGTCCAGCCCACTGGAGGCTTTGATCTATCTGTGGTTAGAATCATTTGAAGTTGGGGAATTTGGAAACTGACTCGTACACTGTATCAAAATGCGACTTGCAAGAAGGTTCATACACAACATTAAGCAAAGGAGAATTTCACTGGTTTAGTCTGGTGGCCTCAGAAGTCTGAGGTTATTTCATGTGGAAGCAGCAGATGGAAATAAAACAGAGACAATCATTAGGCCTAGCAACAAACATCTTTGCCAATGGAAAAAGGTGCCAATTGAAGCAGTTCTACATTCTTATTCTCACGTATAATGGAGACCTATTCATTTTATTGTGGGACAGGATTCTCGACTGGCTCGGTTACCAATTATTCGCTGATGCCAAGGAAGGGTTGGGCCTAGCAGTAGTTTTCTTAAAGAAAAATTATTATACAAGTGCCTTGAGAGTTTCTAAGATGGATGCTTGTCTCAATGAGACACACAGTGAGCGAACACTTACCCCGGCAAAAGTCCATTAGAATCAAGACTTCCCACACATCACCACTGCTCACAGAGTTTATACTAGAATCAATGTATCCAACAATGTTCTTGTGTCCGGATAGATCCCTCTGTAAGAAAGGACACGTTCACAGCACAAAACAGCCAGGTATACAGCAGTTACATTTTAATAGGTTGATCTGTACGGTACAGACTTCCCAGTGTTGGCCTGTCTAGACCCTGTATTAAGGAACAGGTCACTTTGCATTGGCACCACATAGAAAAAGTTCATCAAATGTCAGTTCTGCCTTTGTTGGTTTCCTGTCCGGCGAGACTTAGGGCAAGAAGTCTTCAACAGCAAGTCACTCAGCCCCCTGAGCAATCTGTTGTGCCTCTACTCAAGAGGCGTGCCCACGAGAACAGCTTGATCCAGATTCAGGTCATCTCGCTGATCGGGTGCTCCAGGGTGCATAACCTAGAGCAAGCACTTCTATCTGCACGAGGCAGACTGTGCCAGCAATAGCCATTTCTAGAACGAGCTGCGTTTCCTCTTTGCCCTTCCCAGATTAAACTGTAGGTGATTAAACTAACAAGTTTGACCTTTTAAAAGTTCAGCTCTCTTCTGTAGAACGACAGTAAAATGGCTTTTGGGGGGTCCTACCTCTAGCTATTTTTTGCAGCTTACATGAGATGCTTCTTTCTAATGCCCAAGTTGGCAAACATGCTGGGGATGCGACAGCCCAGGTGGGTTCTTTCTGTCTTGCGCAACCTCACCAGTAATAAAGATGCTTCACATCAAATTTGGCCTTCACTTGCGTCTGTGCAACCTTGTTACCCTCAGCGACAGCTATTTGCTTCCAGGGGTTAACACAGATGTAAGTGAGGGCACAAATTGGAGACAGTGGGGTTGCAGGGCGGCCCTGCCATTGGACCTTGGTTAACGAGTCCACTGATGATGTGCAAGCTAGCAGAGAATCCAGTTGGCTCTCCCAATGCAGTGTCAGTTTTGCAGGTCTGACACAAAGTAAGAGTTTCACATGAACAGATAAAACAATGCAGAGAAGGAGCAGACCTGCTGAGTAAGGCATTACTCCTTTTACAGTGGCTTTTCAGGTTTGGCCACACTAACATGAGATCATGCAGATAGTTTTGTTCCACAATCAAGAGAAGGAAGTGGACAAATAAAAAGCAAGCAAACCAACTTTCCGAGTATAAACTGGAAAAAAAAAAATCTAATACAAGACCAAATCTTAGCTGTGCCCCCAGATCATCATCTAGGGCTCAGAGGAGGTCTCCTTGAAAGCTGTGCTACATCGTGTGGTGTGGTAACTCCTGAAACTCACGTTCAGGGTCGCAGCCGTAAAAGTAATACACGAGTTACTACAGAGAACGCACATTTGCTACTGTTGCAGGTAAGGGATTCTATCCTACATGTCCCTTTTCCAAGGCTACACTTGATTTGAATTCACAATGGGATAAGGCTCAAACTTTTAGGGCAACTCAAGGAAAAAGCAAAAAAAAGCCTTAAATCGCCATTTCAAAAAACTTTAGTGCCCAAGCTGCTACGTTCAAATCAGGGCTACGAGGCCCAGATGGAGGTCCCTGGAAGCAGCCCTGCCCTGCACACAAACACCCTCTGAACTTGTGTTTGGATAATGCAAAAAAATAACTAACCACCCTATTTAAATTAGGTCTGCAACGAGCCTACAAATACGACCAATTGCTTTTAATACTCCAGACTACTGTTCAAGGCCATTACAGACAGTTACCTTTGTATTAGCTACTCAGCATACGCATTTTTACTAGATGACATCCATATCAACATTTGTACCAACTCCAACCCTGAAGGTTAGAGACTGCTCTCAGATTCATCTCTACTTGGAGGTCTCCCGTTCAAATGCTGATCAGGTTCAACCGTGCAAAGCTCAGTACTGCCAGCCTCCAGCGTTCAGAAACATTCGTCAAACCTTAAGTTCCCTCTAAGCTGCATGGCCATCAAGGGCCGCACAGGCGGGGAGACAGAGAGGTGCCTCTCCCCCAGCTCCAGGCGGCTGCGGCAAGAGAGGGCTGGGGGAGGAGTCCTCTCTCCCCGCTGCAGCCCCAGGGCAGCCTGCACCCCAAACTCCTCATCCCCAGCCCCATCCCAGAGTCCACCCCCCCAGCCGGAGCCCTCACCCCAACCCTGAGGCCCCCCTGTACCTCTCATCCCCAGCCCCATCCCAGAGCTCTCAGCCCCCCACCCCTCTGCCCCAGCCCTGAGCCCCTTCCCGCACCCTGAGCCCCTCAGCTCCCCCCCGCCACACATCACCTCCATATTGGTGCACGTAACAAAATTCATTCCACATAGATGTAAAACATTAGAGGGAACGTTGGTCAAGCCCCCTGCCCAGATCCCCAGAAATCAGGAGGTGGGCTTAAAAAAATTCCATGAGATTTTAGAAATAGTTCTTTAGTTCTTTATTTGCTTTCTGGGTTTTGAAACTTTAGGATTCACATGTTCAAACAGCCACAAGGGCTAGAAACTAACTTTGAAAAATGATGAAAGCGGAGATTCTCACTTAAAATCACATGATTCCAAGAGCGCTCTCTTTTTTAATATATATATATTATTTATTTTAAAAAAGGAAAAAACCCACAAATATTGCAAGACTTGCGATAAAACTAGGAGAGTCGACCACATTCACAGATCACGGCCCCAGATGACATGCCTTTCCATAAACACTTCAGGACCCCTAATGCAGCATGACTTACCATGATCTGAATCTCTCTTTTGCAGACTTGCAAATCGTGCTCATTGTTGACATACATTCGTTTCAGGGCACATTTCATCCCATTGTTAGTCCTCACCAGAAACACGATAGCAAATCCACCTGCAAGAAACAGCTCATTCAGTAATGGAGAAATGCCTTGATCCTTGCTTCCAAGCCTGGTCACTCGGATTCTAGCTGTTTTCACAGCCTCCTTGGTGTACACGGAGTAAGGAGGGTATTCAGCAGCTCTCCTCAGCGCCTTAGTGACAGTATCTTTGGTCAGCCCAACACCGCAGCTTTTATCTCTACTTATATGGTTATTTCAGGGAAATAAAGCATCGGAAGGGGCAAATTTTCAATTAAAAGAAATCAAAGTCAAGAATATACCGATAGCAACAAGCCATTATGTGAGTTACTTAACATGCCATATGGTCTTTTATTGCACCATTAGTTTCCATCATAGAGAGGAAATCTGGACTATAAAACAACAGCATTGCCTTCTACAGAAGCCAGAACCACGAAACATCCATGGCCTTCACTAAATGCTGCAAGCGGAGCGCATTTACAGCTTTTGAAGCACTTTTGCAAATTGCATTAGAAGCCCAATTCCTGCCACGTGGAACACAAAGCAATCTCCTGTGCATTGTTGGAGGGTATTGCTTTAAAAAGCATCACGCAATTCATTCTGTGGTCATGACTATTAGCGAAGTCATGACCCCTACAACCTACGCAGCTGGATTATGAGGAAAGCCTTTCATCTTTATTACCAATCTCAGAAATAAGAGGCCAGTCCTGCTTACTTGGAACACTCGACAAGATTAGGACGACTAGAGTATTCTCTCGTCAGAATTCTGAACCTGGCTTTTAGAGATCAACAAATTTGGACACAGTGATTCCAGTCGCCATCAGTGTATTGTTGAAATGATACACAATGATTAAAAAGGAACACAGCAGCATACTCAAAATGACAACCTAACAGTAATGTGTGGACATTTCTTTTTGCTTAAATTATAGCAGACATTTCCTTAAAATATCTGAGCTACTAGTAATAATGTATTATTGGACATTAACTCAGTATCTCCTTTAGCCCACCCCAAGAGAGATCAGGCTCCAATGTACTCGGATGGTCTCTTCTGTACTAAGTACAGCCCCATGTCCCCAAGAGCTATGATCTAAACCAGGGGCAGGCAAACTTTTTGGCCTGAGGGCCACATTGGGTTTCCAAAATTGTATGGAGGGCCGGTTAGGGGAGGCTGTGCCTCCCCAAACAGCCAGGCGTGCCCCCGCCCCCAGGACTCCCATCCCATCCAACCCCCCCTGCTTCTCGCCCCCGATGGCCCCCCAGGGACTCCTACCCCATCCACCACCCCGTTCCCTACCCCCTACCGCCCCATCCAACCCCTCCTCTCATTCCTGACTGCTCCCCCAGGACCCCTGCCCCATCCAAGCACCCATTCTCCCTGTCTCCCCCCCCCCCCCATCCAAGCCCCCCCTCCTTCCTGACTTGCCCCCCAGGACCCCTGCCTCCATTCAACCCCCGTTCCCCACCCTGACCCCTAACCACACCCCTGCCTTCTATCCAGCCCCGCCCTGCTCCCTTACCACACTGCCTGGAGCGCTGGTGGCTTCCGGCATACAGCCACGCCAGCCAGCTGGAGCCAGCCACGGACCGTGCAGCACAGAGCACAGGGTCCGGCCGCGGCTCTGCAGCCCGGCCGCCCAGAGCCTTGCGCCGGTCGTGCAGTGAGCTGAGGCTGCAGGGGAGGGGGAACAGCAGGGGAGGGGCTGGGGGTTAGCCTCCCGGACCAGGAGCTCAGGGGCCAGGCAGGAGGGTCCCGCAGGCCGGATATGGCCCGCGGGCCGTAGTTTGCCCACCTCTGATCTAAATAGAGAAAAGTGGAAGAAAGAGGGGAAAGACAGTATTGTGGTTAGAGCACTAGCCTGGGGTTCAGGCTCCTTGTGTGATCTTGGGGAAGTCCCATTGTGCCTCAGTTCCCATCTGTCAAATGGGGATAATAGTAACTTTCCCACCAATGAGGTGTTGTGAGGTGTCTGGGCCCCATACAGGGTATCTAGATTATAATCATACCTAGATATTTGTTAGTTAACAACCCCATTTTACAGAATGGGGAAACCAAGACACAAAGGGTATGTCTGTACAGCAAAAAAAACCCTGCAGCTAGCCCGTGCCAGTTGACTCAGACTCATGGGACTGTTTCATTGCTGTGTAGACTTCCAGGACTCTCCCCGAAATCAGTCCTAGACCCTGGGCTCCAGCTGAGCCCAGACATCTACACAGCAATGAAAGTCTCAGTCAAGCCCGAGTCAGCAGACCCCTTCCCATTCCCACCCAGTGCCTCGATCACAAAACCCCAAGGTATTGATAATGAATTCCTTATAATATATCCAATTAGCACATGTTCAAAGCATTCATTTTTGTGGGTTCTGGGGGTAGCAGGAGTAAGCAGGCCTTTTGATACAATTACACCACATAAGTGGACATGCTAAGTACAGAACTTATACTAACATTATTTAAAAAAAAAATTATTGGATATAGAACCACCTGTGTAGTAAATTCCCAATCCATTAGCTAAAACATTCCTCCACGTTACTGTGGCTCTGAAGTAAAAAACAACAACAACATTTGAAAGGATAACCAATTCAAAAATTAAAATTTCATCTAATCTAATGGGGGTTGGGGGAGCAACATAATCCTCATCGCAAGCCCAATTAATAAAACCAGAGAACTAAGTTTCATCACCAATTTTGTATTTCTACAGCGCCTACTACAATGAGGGCCTTGTTCACGACAAGGGCTTCTAGGAGCTATGGTAATATAAAGAAACCAACCACCACCGATGCTACGTGCCCCTTTCAAAAGGAGCTAGCAGAAACATTTGCTTTATGCATTCTGGAAGGACTCAAGGACTCTCCTCACTTGGATCTTGCACAGTGCGCCGTTCACCCTAGGGTTGCAGCACAGAGACTGCTTTCATCAGTCATGTGAAACACAGGACCATCGATCGTGCCTTGGAGTCTTCAGGTTTCTTCTGGGCAGGGAAACCTCTGGTCATTGCTCCTCAAGAAGGGGCCAGCAGGAATGTACTTTTCAGTAACAGGCTCTGTAAGTAGCAGCTTGGGCTGACCATCCTGGTTCTCAGAGGGCGTTTTCACCAGCATGTGCGGCTTTATCGATAAGCTAGTGATCTGAGCACACCTCCCTGTGGGCCTGCTGCTCTAAACCTTCACAGATGCTAAATGGATGGCCTTTCGTGAATCGAGACGTGCTGGTGCGACCTCCTCTGCCAACTTCAGTTTGTGAACTTGAATAAGATTCTACAGCCGCAGCAAAAATCTGGAATTTTATGGGGGAAGCCAGGAATTTAAATTCATCGCTCGGACACCTAAGACAGCCTGCCCTCTTTGCATACGCTCTAGAATGGAACCCAGGCTACATTGCTTTTTGTTCTGATGCCATGGACATTTTAAGTACCAAGCCCATGAAATCACTTACCTTGGACTTATCTCCCCCCACTTCCCCAGACCTTACCATAATAAGGAAGGCAAGGGAAGGATACTTTACTTCCCCATCAAAGACACAGTTATAGTTACCAGCCCCGTGTGAATGGCATTTAAGGCCAAGAAGCCAACCAAATATACTCTCAAAAGTGAGAACGTCTGAGCCTGTTCAGACTCCAGGGTCATGAATTTATTTGCAGCGAGTAGAGGGGGAAGAACACATGGAATGAGTCCACTGCAGTCTTGTAACAAGTAGTAAAATAGATTCTGCCAATTTACATAATTTAGCAGCAAGCGTCTCTCTTTACAGGGCTTTCAAAAAGTTTACGGATACAAAGGGAGACAGAATCCTTAAATGAGGCAGGCTCTTTGTGAAATATTCATCTTTGCCTGGGATCACTTACAAACCTTATCTGTGAAGTTAAATGCAGATATAGTACCTGGGGAAGGTAATGAAAAATGAAGTGGCTTTCATAGAGCAGAAGATATCTAACAGGGGCTGGCACCAGACACCTCAGAGTTAGGCCTAGGATGTTTACGTATAGGTAGTAATCACATATATGGGACCCAACTGCGTGTATGCGGGTTTCTTCATGTTATGTTGCACAAAGATACAACATCCACCTGCTGAGTAAAATTTAGCATCAAAATCACTTGCGTTTGACAGGCTAACAATAATTAGTGCTTGCGGGTTGTTTCCCAATTGGATGTACATGCAGTTTAAGTCTGGAGCAATAGCTCTCAACCTTTGCAGACTATGGTACCCCTTTCAGGAGTCTGATTTGCCCTGTGTACACCCAAGTTTCACCTCCCTTAAAAACTACTTGCTTACAAAAAAATCAGACAAAAATACAAAAAAAGTGTCACAGGACACTTATTGCAAAATGGCTATGCTCCCCTTAATAATGCAATTATTCCTGAATGTTGCCATGTTTATTAAGTCAACCACTCCTAGAGCACAGCTGATGGACAATGTATATCAGAATTACATATTCTTACTTTTGTTGGAAGTGACCACGCCAACAGGCACAAAAAGCAACCTATGCCACGGAGAATCTCAATTAGATTGACCCCAGTGGTTCAAGGGTAGCGAGTAACAGGAATCTAGAATAAAATTAGAAAGTTAATTTCTGACAAAGTAGGATAAAAACTTGCTCCATGAGGGCTTGACATGTTTCATACAGTGGACTGTCTTTTGCATGGAGCGATGGGAGTGGAGTCTATATGGTGGAATTGGCACTCTCTCCGTAGCCTGAGTTCAGAAAGATGGACTTTTTTTTTTAAAGTTAACATTAATGTTTATTACAGCACAGCTTATCAAATGTGCTGTGAAGTTATACCCTTGCACCCTTTCCTCAATCATCTTCAACTACTGTCAACTTCAACCAACAGGACTGCAAATTTAAGCAATTCAAAAGAATTTAGTTGTATTTGCAAACAAAATAAGCTATCAAGAGAATGGACTTGCTACCCATAACAGTGGCAAGCTTCTCTCAACAGGAAAGGAGTTCTGGTTTAATCACAGTGCAAAAAACCAAACCAAACTAATGGAACTAATTACATTTGCTATCAGACACAGAACACGTAGTGGCCAGGGTCCA